GGGGGGGGGGGGGGGGCATGAACCAACTGGTTCATGGTTGAACAGTATAAACAGATTAATGTCCATGAATTGATTATTGATCAAATGAACTGATTGGTAACAATAGTCATGAACTGATTAGTGACAATAAAACCAAAATCACAGACACGACTTGTGACTGATAACAACATCTCACACTGTAATGCATGCAGACAGAAGTGAGCTTAAACAGAGTTCCATGAGAACAACAATATTCATTCTGTTAGAGCACTAAGGACAGAATGTGTCATGGAACGAGCCGTCACATCACGTAGGTAAAAGCGAATAAATGAGCAGGGTGTTGACCATGCAGCCGCATTTCAAACGTCCTGCATTGACATACCATAATGCAGAGCAGTCGAAGATGCGATACCCCTGGTGGAGTGTGCTTTGAGGTTGACAGGAGGCCCTAAATCTGATGCTCTGTAGGCTTCAGAAAAGGCCTCACACAGCCAGTGTGACAAGCGCTGGATGGATAACGGGCGACCTGCAGATGCATCTCTATAATGCACAAACAATTGTTGAGTTTGAAACGCATTGCAGCTGTGCGCGCTATGTAACACGTCAACGCCCGCACCGGACAGAGAAGATGAAGAGATGCTTCTTCTTCTGATCTGTGAGGGGGGGGGGGGACCCCTCCAACGATATCGCTCTTGATTTAAAAGAGCTTGTGATGATTTTAGGCATAAAAGCTGGATTGGTCTTAAATCAGCTTAACTACCGTCAGCCTGGATTCTGAGATATGACGGAGCGACAAAGAAGGCAGATAAAAACACACTCTCTTAGCTGGTGTTAAAACCAGCAGCAGTGCTGTTTAAAGAGACAAGAATTTAAGTGGAACCTGATCCAAAGGCTCAAATGAAGCTTTGATCATGACCTGCAGGACCAGTATTAAATCCCACTGGAAACAATTGGGTGTGGGACAGACCTGCGTCTCTGTACACCTTTAGAAAACGTTTCATCAGAGGATGATAAAACCTGTTCTGTCTCAGAAACCTTCATGTCAGGAAGAGATGGCTGCAGCGTATGTTTTAAACGTGCTGGATGCAGATATCTATCCATCAGCTGCTGCAGAAAGAACAGCATGCCACCTAAAGAACATGAGGAGGCCTCTACATCCTTCTCTGTACGTCAGCACTGAAAAGCTGTCCACTTTGATGTGTACATCGCTGTGGTAGATGCAACACGTGAAGCCTGAATTGTGCGCATTACATCCTGTGGGCAACCCGTCCTCTGTAAGAGGATTTGTTCAACGGCCAGACCACAGGTGCTGGCCTATTTCTGGGTAACTCCTGATCGCTCCTCCTGCTTGAAGGAGAGCATCCTCCCTCCATGGCAGTTCCCACGGGCACTCCGACAGCAGACGTTTCAGGACTGGAACTATGGTGCACCCACGCGCACGGGGCCACCAGGAGAACTATCAATCCCTCCTCCTGAGCTCGGTTCAAGAACCGTAAGATAGGAGGGGGTGGAGAGAAACGCATACAGAAGCGTTTTGGGCCATGGACTGTGAACAAACGCATCCACCCCCAGAGGTGGTTCGTCTCATGGGCTCAGAGAAGCGCGTAATTGACACTGAGCGTTTCCCGTGTCACAACAGGCCCACAGCCGCTATATCAATCTGAGACAAATTGCTCCATCAGAGGATGATAGAAATTGTTCTGTCTACGACAACTTTGAGACAGGAAGAAAACACGGTGGCAGCATACAATAGTCGTGCTGGACACCAGATTTTTGTCCCTTGCTTGCTGCAGAAGGACAGCATGTCGTCCAATGGACATGAGGTGGCCTCTACGCCTTTCTATACAGCAGCGTTGATCAAACAGACCACTTGGTGTGAACAGCGCTGTGGTGGGTGCAGCACGTGACTCCTGAGTCGTACGCACTACATCTTGAGAGATCCATCCTCCCAAAAGAACCGCACAACGTCCAAAAAACATAGGTGCTGGCCTATTCTGATTAATTCCTGATCGTTTCTCACCGCCTGGGGGGAAGCGTCCTCCCTCCAACGGCAGGTTCACGAGTGCCCTGATAACAAAAGTCGTAAGGCCTGGGAACCATGATGCGTTCATGCACTTGAAACAGAGGGGCTGCCAGTCCTTCCTCCTGAACTTGGTTCGGAAAACCCGTGATACCGGGGGAAGAGAGAAGGTGAAAGGCATTACGACCACAGGCTGTGAGTAGGCATGTCCACCCAGCGGTGGATCGTCCTATGGTTCTGCGATAATATAATTGACATTGAGCGTTCTCTCGTGTTGCCACACATCAGCAGACGTTGGCAGGATTCTACCGTGTCTGAGCCTTAGCTCTGGGTGGGATACATGCGATGTACCCACTCCAAATGGAGAGCGGATTGGATGTGCCCACACAGTATCTGTCTCACAATGTGGCACATGGGTTGAAAAAATGCATACATTTCCTGTTAGTATGTATGCGACAGACGCTTGTTGTCTGAGAATCAAAACCCCTGATGATTCTGCAGCTCAAGGTCAGTGGAGTCACATTCAAGGATCCCGTGCGACACTCCAAAAAACATTTAAAACAGCTGCTGTGTGGAGCACAGCGCCCCCACAGCTTGTTAAATGTGTGTGACGTAGGTCTGCTGACAGAAAACAGCTGATATCACTCAACCATTCACGTGAATTGCACTGCTGCCACCTGTCTGAACAAGCTGCTCAGCAGCCACAGGTGTCCAGATAATGCATAATTAAAATGGAGTGTTGTTCTCACAGCTCAGAAAATTAACAATCTCAAATAAATCTCATCTTTCCAGTTCGTTTGGATCAGGAAGTGATAAGAGAGAACTGGTGTTTCCTCTCCATCTGAGGCTCTAGAAATTACATTTAAAACAGAATTTCCAGAGCTTCTGCTAGAGGGGACGAGATCTGTTCATAAATGACAGAAAAAACGTCACAGGGTTCCCCCACACCGGGGTTTTAGCTGAACTGCAGCGTGAGTCCCGGATGAAAACGGTTCGCCCATCCCTCTGGGAAACGCGCGTTCATTGCCACCCGTTTATAAGTTATAAAACGAGCACGCATTATGCTGTGAAACTCGCATACATGCTGATGTGAACTGGAGCGCGCTGAGTGAGAGCGCAAGACGTTGTGTATTGCTGCGGGAAAAAACAGCTTTGTTTATGCTGTGTGCAGCTGCACCGTGTAACACTCGGGAGCAGGTTCACATATGAGCTGACACGCCCTGAAGGGTTGTGTGTGTGCGTCCTCATGCGACGCTTACACCAGGATTGCTGCGGGGCGCGCGTTGGCACTGGGTTACCACTGGCTCGGTCTGCAGAACACGTTCATTGTTTGCTGCGAATCACGTGAGCTTAGAATGATTCCACGAGCTGCAATATTATTTCAGAAAACCTTCTTCGAGGATAAAAGGGGGCAGAGCCGCTGTGAAACTGCTAACGCCGCGGGAGCGCGCGTTTGACATCACTGCAATGACAAAACTTGTGTCGTTTCTGCCGAAAAGCGAAATACGTTGCTGAGCTCGTACCGTGATCTCACGTGAACGTTGACGTGAACGGCGGTTGTTGAGAGCTGCGTGCGCGCCTTCCTGCCGCGGGGGCGCGCATCGGCATCGCTGACAGTGAATGAAAAACAACCTTAAAAGGCTCATTCGTGATGAGTGTGGGTGATGGGGCCGCTTGTCAGATAACCATGCTGACAGTCTGGCTAAAGGACACTTCATCATAAAATGATGTTATTCGCAGTGTCATCAACACACCTCCAGCCAAAAACGACACCTGTTTACCTTCGTTGAGCTCTGTTTGTTGTCCTGGAGGGCCCCCTGTTGGCGAAGTCCGGGAAAAAAAAATGAACTTCCGGATGCCGGGGACGTCTGACGGGAGGGGCTGGCGTAGCAGAGCTGGGGGGGCGTAGAGCAGCCGTGGAGCAGCTTGAAAAGATCTCTCGCTGATGAAAGGAGGATCACCAGCAAAACTCCTGCGTCTCTCCTGAGAGGAAGGTGGAGTGGCGAGCCAGGAAAGAACCTCTGGACCTCGTTCTCCGGCTGCGCTGTGGGACGGCAGACCGCGAAGAGGCGCACCGGTTGGTGATGACGTCAGCTGCCCTGTAGGCTGAGCGTACTGCAGGGGCCGGCAGCGTCGTTAGCAAGCAGCTGCTACGAGAGAGGGCCACCGTCTCTTCTCGCCTCTGAACGTGTACGCCAACAGCGTAACGTGTTGTTCGCTGCGGCCGTGGAACACATGCTGATGAGCTCAGTTGGAGAGCGATGTCACCGTCTCGGTTATGCTAACGGGAGGCACGGGACGCTGGTCCACCTCGAACATCTTACTCCCATGGAGCCTCCATCAGGCTCGGCTCCAGAGGGCACGGAGGGACTTTCCGCTCAGTGAACCCTGCTCTGGAGATGGGTGCGGACTGTGGAGACCGGCTCCCCCAATCTACCAGGAAAAAACCCGTCTGTGGCCTCGCCGTAGGACGTCCTGTTGGGAACACGAGGCCATATGGATCAAGACGGTGAGCCGGAATGGAGTCAGTAAACAACCTTCCCGCCGGATCATCCGAACTGGCGGGAAAAGGCGTAGGACGTAAAAAGGGGTCCTTTCATGTCAGCCTCCTCCTGGGTTACGCCGGGCAAACCCTGGGGGGCGCCGTCGGCCGGGAGCGGTGTGATCGCCGATGCGAAAAAAACGAGGTGGGATGGGGTGAGCATTCACTCAGCCCCCCTCCACCGACACTACGCTCCCCAGGAGGGAATGAGCAGCGGGGCTGCAGCTGAGCACGCCTTGCACCGGAGGAACCATCCGGTTCGCCCCGAGGGTCGGCGATAAGAGGAAAAAATACAAGATGGCGTTGTCCAGCGTGTAGTGACCTGTCACTGGGAAATGTTCCCCGGCGCTTACCTTGGAATAAGACTGCTGTCATCTTCTCCTCGGGGAGGAGAGCTCACCGGACGACCGGAGGTCGACTGCCGGGCCCAGCATCCTTCACCAGGTTGGTCATTTACACAACTTATCTTCTTTGTTCTTCTGACAGTGCTATATTAGCTCGCTGAAGAAAAAATGGGAGCCGATTTCCCGCTCTTAACGTAATTTATACGGACCGGGTGGGGCCCACACAGCAGGTGGGCGTGGACTAATTTTTTTCAGTGCTTATGCTCTGCATAACGGGATAAACCCACTAAAGCGAAGGCCTTAAAGGGCGAAGCTTATATGACATAGAACAGGAGGTGAAGTGGCCTGTCTAATGCTGGGGGGCAGGTTGTTCCAAAGTTTGTGGCCCACGACTGAAAAAGCCCGATCACCTCTGAGCTTCAATCTTGTTTTTGGAACAGCCAAAAGCAGCAGGTCAGATGATCTCAGGGCCCGAGAGGAAACATATGGTTCCAGTAGCTCAGAGAGATAAGGGGGTGCAAGGCCATTAATGCTCTTAAAGGTCAACAGGAGAATTTTAAAACATTTTCTGATCCGTACAGGGAGCCAGTGGAGGGAGGACAAAACTGGTGTAATATGATCGAACCTACGAATCGGTCAATATTTTCCACTTTTCAAGTAAGGATCGGTCATACTTAGTCACGCTTGGTTGATCACCAAGTTAAGTATAAGATAACATTTTATGATCGATGTGTTGCTAATTTATGTGACATCACATGAACTGGCCTCTAGTTGTGTAACCTTCTGTCACCACATCAGATGTAAGAATGAGCAGTGATGAGCATCTTCTGTTTGAACCAGAGAGTGGAAATCTGCTTCACAGTTTTATGCGTGACTGAATAAATGCAAAACATAATGTTTCTTTATTTTGAAAAGTAATTTTGACAGCTCCTTGGCCCTCTGCTCCACACGTGTGGGCTGTGGTAGTTTAGTGGTCAGTAGCTGCATCAGGTCTGCAGAAAAAGAAAAAAAAGCCAAATTTGTGCGAGTTTGCTCACAATGGCGAGCCCTGAAGAAGGGAGCAGCCGAAAGAAGAAGAAAACATTAACACAGCATAAGCTCAATGTTTAATTATAGTAAGGATCTGTAAAACACCAGTACCATGAGATGTTCCACAGTCTAACGTTCCTCCTGCTGTTTGATGTAAGCAAACCAAACTGTGTTGTGTTTCCTCCGTCAGAATAAAGATCTGAAGAGTAGAGTGACTCACCTGGAAGGAGCTCAGAGAACGAATCAAGACACACTCGTCTCCAAACTTAACAGTCGAGTCCAGGAGCTGGAGGAGAGGCTACAAGGAGAGGAGAGGTGACCCCTGCTGCTCGTTTTTCCACACGAAAACAGATCAAAGCTGAGCACGTCTGGGAACACACCAGGAATGTGTTCGGTTACAAGACGCCGCAGCAGCGACATGATCTCTCTGTGCCTTCGCTCTCAGGGACAACAACAGTCTTCAACAAGTGAACCGCAGGCTGGAGCGCAAGCTGAAGGAGATGAAGATGCAGGCGGACGAGGAGCACGTCAACCTGCACAGCCAGACAGAGCAGGTAGGCAGGTAGAGACCTCCAAGGGAATACCAAGAAGTCGGGACGGGCCTCCAGTTGATGCAGTGTCACACTTTGGTCAACTCTGCAGCTGACTCAGAGGCTGAAGACGGTGAAGAGGCAGATGGACGAGGCGGAGGAGGAGATCGAGCGCCTGGAGCACTCTAAAAAGAAGCTGCAGAGAGAACTGGATGAGCAGCTGGAAGCCAACGAGCAGCTTCACGTGCAGCTGAGTGCGCTGCGCAACGAGATGAGGTGACGGCCTGACACTAAAATACAACTACACTCACTCATATTAGACCGCTCATATCATCGCAGTCCCTGTGACCCACATCTTTAACCTGTCCATAAGACAAAACCCCATTCCAGATACTTGAAAACAGCCTTTGTTCTTCCTTTGCTGAAGGGAGGAGACCCCACCTCACTGAACAACTATCGACCAATCTCTAAACTCTGCATTTTAGCCAAGGTTCTAGAAAAACTGATAAACTCTCAAATCAGAAATTACCTGGACTCATTTAACATCTTACCTCCACATCAATCTGGTTTCAGGAAACAACACAGCTCAACGACTGCTTCACTGAAGGTTCTTAATGACCTTGTTGAAGCACTGGATGCTAAGGATTATTGTGCTGCACTTTTCTTAGACCTGTCTAAAGCTTTTGACACTGTGGATCATAACATCTTGTGTCATAAGCTCTCAGAAATTGATTTCTCAGATCACACCATTGGTTGGTTCTCTATCTTTGCGGGGCGGCTGTGGCTGAGTGGTTCGAGCAGTCGTCCTCCAATGCGAGAGTTGGGGGTTTGAATCCACCAGCAGTCACATGTCGAAGTATCCCTGGGCAAGACACTGAACCCCTCATAGCCTCTGATGTGTGTCCCATCAGTATGAATGTGATCTACAGCACTGATTAGTCTCATTAGAATGATTTGTTCAATTAGCTTTGTAGAGATCTAGTATAGAGCTGTATGAATGGGTAAATGAGGACACAGATTGTAGTGTGAAGCGCTTTGAGTATCTTGAAATAAAATAGAAAGGCGCTATATAAGTACAGTCCATTTACCATTTATCTCTCAGACCAGAGGCAATGTGTTCAACATAATGGTACTTCCTCCAGTTATTTAACAGTCAACAATGGTGTACCACAAGGCTCAGTCTTAGGACCCACCCTCTTTAAATGGAGTGTACTTATATAGCGCCTTTCTATCTTATCAAGATACTCAAAGCGCTTTACACTACAATCTGTCTCTCATTTACCCATTCATACAGAACTCTACTAGATCTCTACAAAGCTAATTGAACAAATCATTCTAAAGAGACAAATCAGTGCTGTAGATCACATGCATACACTGAGGGGACACACATCAGAGGCTATGAGGGGTTCGGTGTCTTGCCCAGGGACACTTCGGAATGTGACTGATGGTGGATTCGAACCCCCAACTCTTGCATTAGAGGACGACTGTTCTAACCACTCAACCACAGCCGCCCCAATTTTATTTATAAATAAATATAATAATAATCTATTATTTACGATCTACATAGATAATGTAGGTCAGATCATCCCTGATGCATCCTTACATTTCTATGCTGATGACACAGTTGTTTATTGTCGAGCTAAAACAGTTGCTGAGGCTTTCCAGCCTTTGCAATCTGCTTTCGACATCATCCAGTCATGTTCCATCTCAAACTTGTCCTAAACGCCGACAAAACCAAAGAAAGTCAGTCCCAGCAGTTCTTACTCTGATTTTATTCTCAAATGGTGTCCCTATTGAGTTTGTCAATTCCCTTGGGTATCCTGGTCGACTCGCAGCTCTCTTTTTTTTTTTTTTTTTTTTCCATTTACCCTTTATTTATCCAGGTAATCTCATTGAGCCACGAGAACTCCTTTTCAAGAGAGACCTGTTTAGGTCTCCAAACTAGTGGGGGTTAAGGGCCTTGCTCAGGGGTCCAGGGTGGGGCGAATGAGGGTGGAGGGAGGTGTGGGTGTTTCACCTTTTCCACCCACATTTTGATGTTGACGGTGCCGGGAGTTGAACCTGTGACTTTCCAATCACAGGCCCATCTTCTAACCTCTGCGCCACCACTCCCCCCTTTTTAAGCCTCATGTGAAAAACTTGATAAAGAAACTGAAAGTTAAACTGGTTTCTTTTTCAGAAACAGATCCTGTCGACCTCTGAATGCTAGGGAACACCTTGTAACTGTGACTTTCCTTCCCTCCATTGACTATGGCAGTCCTTCTCAAATGGTGGGGCGCGCCCCTCTGGTGGGGCCCGGAGCAATGCCGGGGGGTGGGGGGGGGGGGGGGGGGTGGTGACCCGGGGGGACATTTGGGGCGGGGGTTGGGTTTTTTTTTTTTTTTTTTTGGCACCGTTCTCATTGTGTCAGGGTGCGTTCAGCAACTGTTTGCTAAAATCCGTCAACTCTCAGTCTTACTAATAATAAAGTTATGAACAAATATGTCTGTCGTGTCGTTTGGGGAGCCGTGCTTGAACCGTGCCGCTGTGACAGCTCCTCAGCTGGTGACGCTCTGGACGCTTGTCACCCACAGCACGCATGCGACAGAGAATAAAGTCAAAGCCAGAGCGTTACCTGTTCCTCTTCCTCTTTTACTTTAACAATTTTTTTTAGTTTGTCAAAGCACAATTTTTGTGTGTTTTTTAATACAGAAGTAATGTTTCATAAATGTTAGGACTCTATTCTTTACTAACAAGTCCTCCGCTCTGGACGCTTGTCACCCACAGCACCAGCAACAAAGAGTATAAAGTCAAAGCGAGAGCGACACCTGCCCCCTCTTTCCTCTTTCACGTTGACAACATTTTTTAGTTTTATTGATTGTCAAAGTGCAGCACAACTGGTAGAGCTGCTGCCTCTCAGCGAGCAGGTCCCTGGTTCAAACCTCGGTCCAGGGGCCTTTCTGGGTGGAGTTTGCATGTTCTCTCCATGCATGCGTGGGTTTTCTCCAGGTGCTCTGGTTTCCTCCCACAGTCCAAAAACATGCATGTTAGGCTGATTGGTAACTCTAAATTGTCCCTAGGTGTGAGTGAGAGAGTGAATGGTTGTTTGTCTCGTTTGTCTCTATGTGGCCCTGTGATGGACTTGCGACCCGTCCAGGGTGTACCCTGCCCCTCGCACAGTGATTGCTGGACATGGGCACCAGCAACCCAAAATGGAATAAACGGGTAAAGATAATGGATGGATGGATGGATTGTCAAAGTACGAGTTTGGTGTTTTTTTTGTTATAAAAACAGATGTTTAACAAATGTTTGGACTATATTCTTTGCTAACAAAATATATTTTCTCATTAAACTACTTGTCAGGTTCTTGTGAGCGCGCCACATTCCCCTGACTTCTTCATTTTGATAAAAAACTAAAACAGCACAAATTGTTTCATTCATTTTTGTTTTGTAGGTCAACCGAAAATAATTGAGAAGCACTGGACTATGGTGACATTATTTACATGAACGCTCCTACAAGCACCCTGCAGATGTTGGACACTGTCTATCATGGTGCACTAAGATCAGGGGTTCATTTGAGCCGGATCCTGCCGGAACAAGATCCGGGGACTCTCTCATTTTGACCCGTTCTGTTCCGGCAACTTTTTGTTCGGATCCGGCAGCTCCGCCCCTAAAAGAAAGTGCAAAGTCATTGCATTTTTATGTTGATTATTTATTAAAAAAATACAACAAGAGGAGACGTTAGTCCAGTGGACCCAGTCTGTGGAGTGGATGTTTCAGCCGCAGCACGCGCGGGGAACCAGCTACACGCTCCTTCGAGGAGCAGTAGAGGGGGTGAGGACGGAGGGACAGATTGTCACATTTACACACAGAGATTCTGCGCAGACTCCTCCTCTCCTCCTCCTCTCCTCCTCCTCTCCTCCTTCTCTCCTCCTCCTCTCCACAAATTGTCCCTACTCAGTGCACTGAAAAACACCCCCTCTCTCCTCCTCTCAGACCCCGAAACAAAAACGATCATTTATTCAACAGAATAAATAAATGCCCTGTGCACAGTGCACGTTACGCACAGAAACGTCTCCAGACAGCTCTAGTGCGCATACATCAGCACGTGCTTGAACTCCTGCTACATTTCAGTCATAATAAATAAAAAAGCTTACTGTAAAAAATAAATTTAAAAAACAAAGAGAGAAATGTTTGATGTGTTATTCACATTATATGTCACGTTTCAAAACAACGGTGCTAATTTGTCTAAATACAACAGCGATCAAAATGTCAAAAAGACAGTCCAATTTACGTTAATAAAAGATGGATGGATGGATGTCCTTAGTTGGACAACAGAGAATTGAAGCCTTCAGGTGCTTCAAACGGTGCCACGAGACTGGATCAGGAGCGGAGAATGTTCAGCTCATAACCATGAAGTGAGGGGAGGGAGGAGGGGGGTTAGGACACCTGACAGACTCCGAGCTGCTGCACACAACCTGCTGTTGCTCTACAAAATGGTAGTTTTATTGTGTTTACAAATGTAGGTAAATGTTGATGCATAACAACCTGTTAAAATACACCAAAATGCAGGAAATGGCATCTCTGTTATTCAAAATTTTCTGTGAGAGGACCCACGGACCCCCACCCCCGCCTGCTAGCTGTTCCAGCATCAGTCAGTTTACAAATTAAGCCCTGGTTAAGATTCATAACTGGCTGTGATTATCGTACCCACCACTGCACCCTGTATTCACTGGTTAACTGGTCATCATTAACTTCACGCAGACTCTCCCACTGGTACATTTTCATCTTTAATTCACTTCTTGGTCTGTTGCCTTCATACATCTCCTCCTACATGTCTCTGCGTGAGTGCAACTACAGCGTGCGCTCTCAGGACATTATTACCTGCAGTGTTCCCTCAGTGAGGACTGAACAAGACAAAAAGTCCTTCTCCTACTCCGCTCCTGTTTCCTGGAATATCTTACAAAAAGACCTGAAGCTCTCGACCTTGACCTCTCTAAGTGGCTTCAAACATCTGCTAAGTTCATGGCAATGATGCAAACATGTTCCTATTTTAAATTTTTTACATCACCTTACAACCTAGCTGTTTTTTGTTACATTTTTAAATATGATTTTATTTTCACTTGTTATTTTCAATTCGTACACATCTTTTATGACGGTCTATTGTTGTCCACCGTTCTCATCATTCTTTGTTGAAATCAGGTGTCTCTTGTAAATGAGTCCCAGAGGCTCAATGGGATTAACCTGTCTAAATAAAGGTTGAATGAATGAATATTGTCTGAAACAATTATAACTTAATATTTTTTGTCTTGACAGGCGTAAGAAGAAACCTCCTGCTATGATTAAGGTTGTGGAGGACAATGTGAACGACATGGACGACTATGGATCTGATTGATTGACTGAACACATATTCTGGACTTAATGAAACAATTTTCTGTGAACATATCTTAATTCAACATTTAACTACTCAGGCTGACTTCATCTTTTTACTTAGAACAGCTTGTCAGGGCTGCCCTCTGGTGGTGATATTTATAACTGCATGTTTATTATAAAAAGAGCAAACCACTGCAGTTACATTACTCATACTGATCCATTTTATTTTATAGATTATTATATTACTACTATTTTAATACTGTGAATTAAAATGGTGAAAATCTTAAAAACATGAAGCAAATAATTGCACACATTAAAACACTTTTTTAACACATGCCCCCAGAAACTCTTACAGTAAAAGTGGACGCTTGATGTTTCTGCACATTTAAACTTGTTTTACATGTCAAAGAAAGAAAAGCAAAAAAATGGCTGTTTGTTTATCGTTGTATCAAACTCGGAGTGATGATGGAATAAAGCGAGAGTTGCTCAAATGGATCAATAGTCTGTGCTGAATGGCTGCAGAGGTGGTGGTTTGACCCCAGTGGTTCCAGCAGCGGACCGTGTGTCAGTTTGAATAACTTGCTGGAGCGGCAACATGAGGCAACACTGTGCGCTCAAACATGGAATATTCAAGGAATTCCTGGCAGAATTCCTTGGGACTTTTGTCTTAGTTGTAAGTACAGAGATTTTTCCTCCTTTTAAAAAGGGAAAATGTTGCTCAATGTCGATTTGCGGTTATTTCCAGTTATAGATTATAGCTTCTGAGAATCTTTAAAATCTTTTTTTTTTTAATGTTTGTTAGTTATTTGGCTGCGGCTCGGTCGCTCAGACTGTCTTGAGTCGAAACACGCTGGGGGAGCCCATCACTGTCCACATCGGCTTCTCCGTGGGCCTCATGATGGCCGTGTACGTGGCTGGTGGAGTGTCAGGTAATTCTCTTATATTTTTCTAGTGTAAAACTTGTTTTATCCTTCTGACTGCAGCACGCCTTATCAAACCTCATCAAAAGGTCATAACTTGTCAAATAAGAAGAGCAAAAGTTTTTATTTTTGTCGTAGCATGGCTTGTTTAAGACAAGATGTGTGTTAAACAGTTTCCAGTTAACAGAGACAACGTAACGCAGGTCCTTTATTCTGTAAACGTCGTTCCTCGAGGGGCTGCGTAGTAATTATAAAACTTTATGACTTCCTGTCCTCGACAGCAAGGATGTGTCCGCTCTCCATCCAGATTCAATGAATGTGCTCTGAGCATTGATTTATCAGCACTAGCCTCTCTGGGGTCATACGTTACCCCGGGCGGTAAACGTCCTCCAAACGTCATTGACCAGAGGCTTCATCAGCCACGGCTGAGGCCGAACCAGAAGGACCGCAGCTTTAAAGATGAGAACACAACGCTGGGGCGTGAGCTAAACAGAATCAGAATTAGGACCTGAACAATGCTGCCTCGGTTTATTTTGATTTTGCATAAATCGTTTTTTTTATTTTTATTTTTTTTCCCCACATAAAGTAAATATCAGTCATAAAGGCAACATTTGATCCAGCTGAGATATCACAAATGAAGACCGTGAATTTGAGTGATTTGCAAAAACGCTAACGCCAAGCAGGTCAAAAACGCCTCCGCTTCGGTCTAACAGTTTTAAAATGACACACTTTCAAATATGTCAAACTCAGTTCTAATCGTTTTCAACTCCTGAATATTATTTTGCATCTAACGGCCATAAAATTAGCTGTCCACGTCCAATGATTGGTAGATTTCAATCAGTAAATAAAGTTAATCTTCAGCTTTATTCTAACGTGAACAAGGAAATGAACCCTAAGTCAGAATTCAAATGTTTTCATACATATTCACACGACCAGTGTGGCCTAATCTGTCTCACACTTAATCGTTTTCAGCAAGTTTTGGAATTATTTAAAACATAATTGAATGATTATAATAAAGAGATTGACTTATTTAAATTAATTAATTGTGTCATTCAACAGAACATCCTGTCTGATTTGTCTTCATTAGTCTGTGACCAAACCTCTTTCATAAGACAAATGTAAAAGCTGCACACTTCAGATCACAAACATTACAAAAACATTTTGCAGTAGTTAAAAATAGCACATTATTCCCAGGAGACCTGTAAAGTTTAAGCAACTAATTGACCCAGAGATAATTGGCAACATGAAGTGTAGTTCACAATAGTTCTGCTTCAGGAAAAATCATCTTAACAAATAACTTAAGTGGATTAGTGCAATATAAATCAGGTACTGTTAAAAAATCATTTAGCTTATTTTCCTGCCAAGATTAATGGCAGTGAATTTCTAATCAGTGACCATTATTCTCCCAGTAAAACCCTGAAGTCCTCTGGGAGGCTGCGTTCCTTCTGCTCCTCGTAAACATGTCAGCCTCACCAGTGATGGAGAGGATATTATTCCAGTCACCCCCACCCGCTGCACCCCTCTGTCACCTTCTGCTTTGTCCTCCATCCCAGGGGGCCACGTGAACCCCGCTGTCTCTCTGGCCATGGTGGTTTTGGGCAAACTGAAGATCTGGAAGTTTCCCTTTTATGTCATCGCTCAGTTTCTCGGTGCTTTTGCTGGAGCTGCTGCAGTCTTTGGATTGTACTACGGTAAATTATCACTTTATCCATAAATATATATTTAATTACAACAAGTACAGCCCATACTTGCATTAAATATAAGAAGTTTTGTGTCTCTTGAGCTTTGAAACAGTCAAAACTCAAAGGTTTTGGTTCCAAGCTCAGCCCTTTAAAAGACCAGTGGACCCTGATGAGATCTTGAAGATGCCCATTTCTCTACAGATGCTTTCATGGAGTTCACGAGTGGGATTCTGTCGGTGACAGGAATCAACGCAACAGCTCATATTTTTGCCTCGTACCCTGCGAGACACCTGTCAGTTCTTGGCGGCTTCATTGATCAGGTGAGATGAGGTTGCTGTGACACAGTGACCTTGGTGCTCTGCTGCTCAGCTCTATATTCTAAACACAGGAAGGTCTGGCAGTTCATGCAGCATTGATTGCCCCACTTCATCTGAGAGAACCCCTACTTTAGCTTGGTTTGGGTCTAACGACTCATTTCCGGGCTTTCTCTGTAAGGTCAGATGGACCTAACGGCATTTTCTGTCGGCGTACTCACAAATGAAAACATCAGTTGGGCTGCTCGAAAATGAAACGTCGTAGTTCGGTTATTTAGCATTGCAGTTTTATTTAATTAGGTCCTGATCTGTCATTGCTACAGCCACATGTTCCTCCTCCATTGTCCACACACGTATTCTTAGCATGTTTTCATTCAGCAATCCACGCTCCCTGGCTCCTGTTTGTCCTGAAGCTCAGTCTCCTGTTCATGTCACGCTTCTTGCGAGATCTATTGTTGTTTGACTTCATTGTTCAACTTCTAGTTTTGGTCATAAACTTGCTTATAACCTTCCTTACAAGACAGAATTATTGACATTGTTTTAAGGTTGTTGCTGGTTTATGCCGACAGCAAAGGTGCCAGTATTTTATTGGCCTACAAACTAATGTCTCAGTTTTATGTTGCATGTACTGGAAAACTGTACGAGCTATAATCCACATGGTGCAAATATTGCAATATTTACACTACCGTATATTTCGCCCTATAAGTCGTAGTGTTTTGCATAATTTGAATGCCCTGCGATTTATACGCCGAAGCGACTTATTTATTGATTTTTTCCCATATTTATGAACCAATTTTTGGCTGAGATATGACCGTTTTCATTCATTCTGACTGAAAATATTGAACGCTACCATTTTCAGCCGCTAGATGGCAGCAGAGTAGTATGGCATGCCGTTGTATCATGTAATAGGTAAAAGTGGTTATAATGACAAATTCTAAAAAGTTCAAGACAAAAACAACTGGACTTTATTTATTATACTTTACACTTTATTGATTTTGTCTTGAACTTTTTTGAATTTACCATGTCATTGATGACTGAGAATCTTCACTAGCTATTAATGACACAATCGGCTTGCCATATGCTCCCACTTTCATCCAGCTCGCTGCTTGGAGCAACTGTCAAATCAGCTTCATTTCGCTGCACTGCCCCGGTGAAATGCAGCTAATTTGACCATTGAAGTGAATTTATTAAGAATTATTTATTATTAATTATTAAGAAAATATTTGTTTTAGGTGCTTATCTTGGTAAATTTAGAAGAAATGTGCAGTGTTCCTACTTCCTGATTTCCTCCCTGTCTGCGTGCTCCCGTAGCACCAAGGCAGTGAATACTTTTGAAATGCAGCTGATTTGACCGTCAATGTCCTTTTATTAAATAAAAGTTCAACTGAGACACACTTCTACTATAAAGTCGAGCAAACAAATAATTGTTTTTAGGTGTTAATCTTGATAAATTCTTGTTAAAGTCCTCCTGTGCACGCTCCCGCAGCCGCCATTTGGCAGCCAATCGATTTTTGGCACAACACCGGCCCACATCTCCAGGTTATCAGCGGTGAAGCATAATAGATGTGACGTATACGGCGAAGCAGCATATTTATGGATTTTTCCACTTTTGTAGACATATTTGGACTGATGCGACATGTACAGCAAAAAATACGGTAATTATTCATCTCTTAAATTCAATGACAACCTGAATACTCCACATTTCTGTAGGTGCTAAATATGTTAACAGACAAATTCAGTAACTTGCTGTACTCATGGTCTCCAAACATCACTGGTTTAACAGAAAAGACTAAAACATACCAGACAAATCCCTCTGGGATCACCGGTCTGGCCCTGAAGGCAGCAAAACATGCAGGTTTTTGTACTGTGGGAGGAAAACAAAGTTCCTGGAGAAAACCCACACAAACAGATACCCAGGCCCAACCCAGGGTTTGAACCCAGTACATTTATGCTGTGTGAGGCTGCAGTGCTAACCACTGTACTGCCGTCTTGCTTGCCCTGTTAACTGATGAGATGCTACAATCAGCTTGTCTTACCTGTGAGCAGCAGCAAACAGAACATTTATGATACTACTGTAAGGTCCAGTACAGCTGACAACTCAACCAAGCACAGAAGATGTTAAAAGATTAAGAATCTGGATCTGGTGGGAGCCACAGACTGGTCACACAAACGTTCAGGGGCAACTCTTGGATGAATCAGCTGCTCAGCATCTCAACATGTGAACCTTAGAATCGTCACAGGAAACTCTCAGGAAGGTTTTTCTGCACAACTTGTCCAGTGACAACTCCTGACCGATGGGCGAAGACGTGGTAAGAAGGCAGGAGTCTGTGGCTGGAGGGAGATTAAACGGAGCAGAACACAGGTGAGAGGCAGCAGAGCAACCAGCAGGTACAGGTGGGCTGAACAAGCTGATGACTGCCTGACACGTGAGCAGGCATCGAAACCAACGGACTGAAACGTTAGAACTTCTGAACACCATAGAAAGTTGATACATGATCGAGTTCATATTTGCACATGATGTAGCAGTAGCTCTTCCTGTTCTGGAGATCCACTCTGGTGGTTCAAACATCCTGATATTTGAGCAAGAGTGTTAAGAAAGAACAAGCCACTGTCCTCTCTTGGCACAGGAACTTTTTTTAATCATATATTTTCACCTTTATTCTCATTTAATAAATGTGTCTTAAAGTTTCTGACATACAATAAAAGCTGTTGTCCTCCCTCAGGTTGTGGGGACAGGCATGCTGGTTCTGTGTATTCTTGCTATCATTGATGGTGGAAACATTGGAGCTCCTAAAGGTGTGGAGCCGCTGGCCATCGGTCTGATCATCACAGCCATCAGTGTGTCCATGGGACTCAACTGTGGTTACCCCGTGAACCCTGCTCGAGACCTGGGACCCCGGCTGTTCACAGCACTGGCTGGGTGGGGGATGGAGGTCTTCAGGTAACTGAAGAAAAAGATTTGCTCTTACTTAAAATCTCTTATGATGAAGTTCATATCAGACAACTGGAGCACCGAAACTATGAATTATAATTATAACTAGAGACAATGCATTTCCTGTGAAAATACAGTGAGTGCTCATTGCAGAAGAACTTGCTGAAAATCAGCTGAAATTAGCTAAAAAAAAACATGCTGAAATTTTTCTGAAATGGAAGAACAAGCATAAGTTAGCAGAAGAAAAAACACACATTTGCTGAATTGTTTAAATAAGCAGAAATTAGTACAAAAAAAAAAAGGAATTTAGCTAAATAAAAATTAAAAAAACAGGCTGAAATGAGCAGGTCTCTCTTGTAAATGAGTCCTCGTGACTCAATGAGGCTAGCCTGTAAAGGTTGAATGAAAAAAAAAAAGCCCCAAAAAAAACAAACTTTAAAGTAGCTGAAAGGCAGAAAGAAGCTTAAACTACCAGAAGGAAGTGGAAGAAGTTGAAATGAGCTAACAAATATGGAATTAGCTGAAAATGCTCAATTTAGCACAAAAACAGCTAAAAAGTAGCTGAATAGCAGAAAAAGCGGAAACTAGCAGAAATAAGCTGAAAGGAGTATAACAAGCTGAAATTAGCAGAAAGAAGCTAATTAGGCTGAAAGTAGCAGAAATTACCATGAAAAAGTTGAATTTTTCTGAAAACAGCTGAAATTAGCTAAAAATGCTAAAATAAAGTAAAACAAATAAAAAAGGAAGAACAAGCTTAAATTAGCAGAAGAAAGCAGAAAGAACGTTTTCTGAAAGAAGCAGAAATTAGCATAACAATGTGGAAATTATCTGAAAACAGCTGAAATTTAGCTAAAAAGCAGAAAGAAGCTGAAAATACAAGAAGGAAGTGGAGAGAGTACATTTTTGTTGAATTACTGGTAGGCTGCAAAAATTTGAAATTAAAGCAAAAAATGTGGAATTAGCTGAAAAAGCTTAAATTAGCATAAAACTGCTTTAATACTGTAGTAGCTGAAATTGTAGAAAAAGCTGAAGCTTGCAGAAATAAACTGTAAGGAGCATAAAATGCTGAAATTAGCAGAAAAAAATTAGAAGAAGCCCAAAAATGTTGTAGTTAGCATAATGAATCTGAAAGAAGCACAAGACAGCTGACACCCCCACCCCCCCACCCCCCCACCTGAAAAAAGTTTATATTTGCACAAGGAAGCTGAAAGAAGCTGAAGCAGAACAAAAAGAGAAAGGGGCAGTAAAAGGTTGTAAGCATGTAAAGATTTGAAGGATGTAAAATGAGCTCAATACATTTCATATTAAAAAAATGTCAGAAAAGACTAAATATTTCAAAAAGCTGAAGCTGTACCAGTAACAAAAGTCATAGCAGGATTGTCCTGAAAGAGCTGAACGTTGTGATTTATGATTTGTTGAAATAGTTTGAAAACTGGAACAAGAAAGATGCTGAAAAGCATCATGGAAGAAAAATGGATCACATAGTGTGCATGCTTCATGACCGTTCACACCGTTATATTACAGTCCTGTGTGACGTGAGACCCTGACAGCTAATGTTCCGTAACGTCACACGCAGGATCGTGTGTGGATGCAGTCGATGCTGTTGTAGACCTCCGATGACACCTGTGTGACTTCCTGCCACCGAAGCCTTGACTACCTTCTTCCTGTTGTAATGCTTACAGTACTGGAGACAACTGGTGGTGGATCCCAGTGGCAGGGCCCATGGTGGGAGGCGTGGTCGCCGCCATGATCTACTTCCTGCTTATTGAGCTGCATCATCCCCGCGATGACACCGAAAAGGCCCACGAGGAGGAAGAGGAGGAGGAGGAGGAGGAAGAGGATGAGGACAGCAGTCTTAAGGACAAATATGAGATGATCACCATGAGTTAGGACGACACCAAGACTCAAATTTGACTGGTTTTACCTGTCAGCCCGACAAGGAACGACCAGCAGGACCGACTCACTCTCATTATTAGCCGTAGTTGCACTTCAGGTTGAGTTTGTGCTCTCCAGAGACACAGTCACACCAACAAAGGTCACTTTTCTAATTTTCAGCAGAAAATCTCCACAGACGTTTTGCTGCACGCTGTGGAGTAAATAGAAACACTTTCTTTAAAACTTGTACTTTCAGTTTCTTCTATTGTTATGTTTCGTGAACACAGAAAAGCAGCAGGCGTGTGCATCTCACGTTATTACCTGCACTGTTAAAGTCACTGAGGTGTAAATATGTGATGTATGGAAAGTAGAAGTCGTCTTTGAAGATGAAGCACTAGTTGGACGTGCATGCAGGCGTCCCTTTAGCTTTGGTCTCCTTCCCCCCATTCATTCTACCTCTACCATATTTACTTATCTTTTCTTATTTTGATTATTTCAGTGAAACATTTTCATCCACATGATGTTTTTCCTTTTCATTTTATTATATTCAGCACTGCTTATATTAAAGTTTATACAAAAATCTAATTACAGATATTTCACTTCATTTCTCTTATGGAAAACAGTTTTTAGGTTTATGTTAGGGTTTTAGGTTTGTGCCCACCTGTCTGATCAGATGCTCCCAAAGCAATAAAGGGATAGTTCAGCTCTTTTCACACAGGTTTTACAGAATGCTTCTGAACAATCAATATCCTACCTGTGTCACATAGCTCTTTGAACAACTCCATTTTGGGGAAACAGAGTTTAACTCTGACCAAATTCATGATCTAATAACTAATTTGAGCCCGGACTAGCCATGAGCTCATCATTCTGATCAGAATCAAAAACCACAACATGTAGAGTAATACGTGTTCACTACCCCTTTCACAGAACCACATTTCAAATAATCTGAGCTATCATTATAAAGCATTTTATCAAGAAGACGTGTATAATCAGTTTAAAGTCATTTGCTGTATGAGCTCATGAAGTTTAGAAAACCAAGTCAAAGATCTGAAACTACAAAAAAACTGGTCTGACTTCTACCAGGAACCTGATGTGTGGACTGTGTTGGATCAAAGACATGGAAATCAGTGTAGCCACTCCCAAGAAAAGAGTTTAAGGGAATGGTTTAAGTTTATATTTACCTTTGTTTGGGGAAGTGTTTGGACAGAGTGGAGTTGAGACATTCACTCGAAGAAGATGCAGTTTAAGATGCTGTGCTGACTCAGTCTTTGAAGGGGCGCTGCAGGTCAACTCAGGCTCATAAAATCTGTCTCTAGTCAAATTCATCCAGAAATCACTTGAAAACCACACAGAGGATCACGAACAATAGTTTCTCTAAAACTGAAATTTCCTTAATAAAAAAGGTATGGTAGTATCCACATGCTTTTTGAGGAAATCATTGTTTTATTAAATATACAAATGAAATCTGTTAACCAGGCAGCGGACAGAGCTGATGGCTTCATGTGTTCAGGTTCAATATCCACAGCTCAGTGTGAGTGAACATCAGCAGGCCTGTCAGCTGTGCACTGCTGCGACAAAGTTAAGGGCTTTGACATCAGTTCCTCACAAACAGCTGCATCCAACTGAAAACATCCTCTGTGCTGGGGTCGTGCACTCAGAAACAGGCTGACACGCACGTGGAGAGAGTCATGATAAAACAAACGACACGAGTTATATTAATTATTACTGCTACTGGAAACAATGGACTCAAACGGATGTGGGTGACTCGTCTCTGTCATGTTGCAACCTGGAGCAGAACAGTGAAAATCAATGATTGATCAGATTCCAGTGCATGTGTGCAAAGACAGCCCTGTGGCTGTGACATCATCAAATCACTGCTGTCAGTCATTAAATACTTTGTGTGGAAAGTGTTATACAAACGTGTGAAACCTGCTAAAGCAAACAGGAATGTAGGAGTCAGTATATCTGAGGCTGTAGGTATAAAGTCATCAGCTTCTGGTTCTAATGCCGTGTTGGTTCTGCTTCAGAACTTCCTGCTCCACTCTTTATGTGAAGCAGGTGCTCCCTCTGTCCTGCAGCCCCAGACCCAGCAGGCCAGGATAAACTGGGACCATGAGGAAAATATGGACGACGCAATGTGACTAAATGAAATAAATACATAAATGTATCGTTTAATTATTAAATACATCATTAAATAATTAAATAAATTGTTAAATACATAATTAAATATATAATTAAATTATTAATTACACAACTGAATTATTAATTTTTTTTCACATTCCACCCTTCCGTGTATGGAGGACGGAATGAAACTAAATTAAATAAATAAATACATAATACACAGCGGTACATTGTATGAATGGGGCGGCTGTGGCTGAGTGGTTACAACAGTCTTCCTCCAATGCAAGAGTTGGGGGTTCGATTCCACCAGCAGTCACATGTTGAAGTGTCCCTGGGCAAGACACTGAACCCGTCATTACCTCTGATGTGTGTCCCATCAGTGTATGAATGTGATAAAGCTCTGATTATTCTGTGTATAGATCTAGTTTAATGCTGTATGAATGAGGCACAGATTGTGTTGTAAAGAGCTCTGAGTATTTTTATAAGATAGAAAGGTGCTGTATAAGTACAGTCTATTTACTATTCACATAACAATTAAATGTCCAGAAAGCTTTTTTTATATATGTAAAGTCAAAACAGTGAAGAAAATAAAGTAAAAATGTGAAGTTCAAATGGTGAGAATGTTTTAGTATCAAAATGGGATTTAAAGACCTGTCAGCCATGTTTTCTTCATAGATTTTATCCATCCATCATCTTTACCCATGTCTTCCTTTTCGGGTCGCTGGGGTCACTGGTGCCCATGTCCAGCTATCGCTTGTGTGAGAGGCGGGAGACACCCTGGACAGGTCTCCAGTCCATCACAGGGACACATAGAGACAAACAACCATTCACTCTTTCACAAGGGACAATTTAGAGTTACCAATCAGCCTAACATGCATGTTTTTGGTCTGTGGGAGGAACCAGGAGTACTCGGAGAAAATCCATGCATGCACAAAGAGAACATGCAAACTCCATCCAGAAAAGTATTTGAACTGGCAACCTGCTTGCTTAGAGGTGGCAGCTCTACCAACTGTGCCACCGTGCTGCCTTCATAGGTTTTAGTGGCAAGAATATCCTCCCTTTTTTCAACACTTTGTGATAACAAGCAAAGTGCTGTGAGTAGCGAGTACCTGAAGCCTCATACAACCACTCAACACCTTGTCAAATATTTTTTGTGGTTTAAGCTCCAGCTGACTTTTACCAGATACAGTGCGTTGCGAAAGTATTCAGCCCCCTTGATCTTTTCAACCTTTTGCCACATTTCAGGCTTCAAACATAAAGATATAAAATTAAATTTTTTGTGAAGAATCAACAACAAGTGGGACACAATCGTGAAGTGGAATGAAATTTATTGGATGTGTCAAACTTTTTTAACAAATAAAAAACTGAAAAGTGGGGCATGCAATATTATTCAGCCCCTTTACTTTCAGTGCAGCAAACTCACTCCAGAAGTTCAGTGAGGATCTATGAATGATCCAATGTTGTCCCAAATGACTGATGATGATAAATAGAATCCACCTGTGTGTAATCAAGTCTCCGTATAAATGCACCTGCTCTGTGATAGTCTCAGGGTTCTGTTCAAAGCGCAGAGAGCATCATGAAGACCAAGGAACACACCAGGCAGGTCCGAGATACTGTTGTGGAGAAGTTTAAAGCCGGATTTGGACACAAAAAGATTTCCCAAGCTTTAAACATCCCAAGGAGCACTGTGCAAGCAATCATATTGAAATGGAAGGAGTATCAGACCACTGCAAGTCTACCAAGACCCGGCCGTCCCTCTAAACTTTCATCTGGAACAAGGAGAAGACTGATCAGAGATGCAGCCAAGAGACCTATGATCACTCTGGATGAACTGCAGAGATCTACAGCTGAGGTGGGAGAGTCTGTCCATAGGACAACAATCAGTCATACACTGCACAAATCTGGCCTTTATGGAAGAGTGGCAAGAAGAAAGACATTTCTCAAAGATATCCATAAAAAGTGTTGTTTAAAGTTTGTCACCTGGGAGACACACCAAACATGTGGAAGAAGGTGCTCTGGTCACATGAAACCAAAATCCAACTGTTTGGCCACAATGCAAAACGATGTTTGGCATAAAAGCAACACAGCTCATCACCCTGAACACACCATCCCCACTGTCAAACATGGTGGTGGCAGCATCATGGTTTGGGCCTGCTTTTCATCAGCAGGGACAGGGAAGATGGTCAGAATTGATGGGAAGATGGATGGGGCCAAATACAGGACCATTCTGGAAGAAAACCTGTTTGAGTCTGCAGGAGACCTGAGACTGGGACGGAGATTTATCTTCCAACAAGACAATGATCCAAAACATAAAGACACATCTACAAATGGATGGTTCACAAATAAACGTATCCAGGTGTTGGAATGGCCAAGTCAAAGTCCAGACCTGAATCCAATCGAGAATCTGTGGAAAGAGCTGAAGACTGCTGTTCACAAACGCTCTCCATCCATCCTCACTGCGCTCGAGCTGTTTTGCAAAAAGAATGGGCAGAATTTCAGTGTCTCCATGTGTAAAACTGATAAGAGTCAAACCCCAAGAGACTTGCAGCTGGAACTGCAGCAAAAGGCGGCGCTACAAAGTACTAATGCAAGGGGGCCGAAGAATATTGCACGCCCACTTTTCAGTTTTTTATTTGTTAAAATGGTTTGACACATCCAATAAATTTCATTCCACTTCACTATTGTGTCCCACTTGTTGTTGATTCTTCACAAAAAATTAAAATTTTATATCTTTATGTTTTTGAAGCCTGAAATGTGGCAAAAGGTTGAAAAGTTCAAGGGGGCCGAATACTTTTGCAAGGCACTGTAATATTAAAACAAATAAAAAAGGTTTCTCCCTGTAGCTTGACGTTTTCTCTTGAAATAACATTTCAGCTCTTGAAGCTGGAAAACTAATTTTCTTAATATTCCTAAAATTATAGATTATGCATCCAAAAAGTATTTTTTCTGTCAAGACACTCATCGATATACTCTGGACACCAGATGCTCTTCTTGACACAACCTGGACTTGAACCTGCAGCCTCAGGATTACGAGACCACGCAGCTCCTAATTTCCCATAATGCAACTTCAGTTTCCAGATGCATTCTCTTATTAAATGCAACATCAGACTGTAATGAACATTTCCTGTTCATTTTAATGTTTAAACCCAAATAACTGCATTAAATCAGAACAGACAGTGAAAATACCTCCCTGCACTGACCTCAGTATATTTTACTACAGCGTGAACTGAAAAACCAGTGCTCGTACTTTGCAGACAGTAAACAGGTCTATTTTATTTTGAATGAGTCTTTTAATTAATGCATTTCAAGTACTCCAAAAATTACATCTCTTTGCACAATACAATTGGAATTTTTTGTCTTTTTTAGTAAAAATGTTCAAAGTGAACAAAAATTTCGGATACTGTATAAAACACAGTGAACATTAAAATCAGACAGTAGTTTTTAACTTTTTAATCTCGTGTTCTTACGGCCTACATCACCTACGACACTTCAACTTGATTTTAGACATTTTCAGTGCACGTTTACCTTCTTTTTTTTTTGTTTGTATTACCAAGACTACGAAATGAGAATAAAAAATAAAAAAGTAAATTTACAGGCATTTTTCTTCTGCTCGTCTACCCAAACCATGCCACAGGATAAGAAAGACAAAAATGAGAATGTGACATCACAATGATTTTTTTTTTCTTCCCCATTGATGATGGTGGCAAAAAATAATTATAAGCAAACTGCAGCTCAACTAGCACACAAAAACATAAATAACTTAAGAGAGGAAAATCGGTCACATGTGAACATCTTTAACAAGTTTACTCTGGAATTAGAAAAAAAAAAAGATGTATCAAAATGTCTTTTTTTTTTCAGTTTCAAATCAAAATCAATTTTTGTCCAAGTACTGTACAAGTTTACAGGTAAATTCTCCAGGATGACGCCTGGCAGGTGGGATTTAAAAAGTTTTCTACAGACGTGAGAAGAAATAGCAGCTGCTAACCCATCCCAAAACATCTGCTGCATGAAAAATAAAATCAAACAAGCTGATGCACGTTAGATTTTAAAGTCCCCTCTGGAGCACGTGTGTGATTCAACCAGTGTTACAAGAAATTAGTTGTGATTAGTGTTGCATGCATTTAAAATAGTGCTTGGATTAAATAAAGTCAGAGCACAGAAAACCTCTTTGCAGAACACGTATTGAAAAATCAGTGTTGCTTGTGCTTCGTTGTTCCCTCGTGAAGAGGTGTTCGGGGGGGGGGGGGGGGGGGGGGGTGTAACAGTATTCTGTACGTTATTGTCATAAATATAGGATTAAGGTTGTGGTTTTCCAAAATGGTTCTTTGCTGCTCTGAAGGGAGGGGAAAAAACACCTGAGGTCATCCAAAAATTAAACAAACAATTACATCTCCTCTCATTTGTTCGTTTAGAACGGCTCCAGAAACCTTCCAGGTGCTTCCTGTACGTGCACAAAAACTCGCTTCTCCGCCATTTTTCATAAACATTCTGAACTTGTGAGCTCCTCGGGGGATTGGGTCCTCGACGACCAGGAGGCGGCTGCAGAATGTATCGAGCAGCGAGAACAGCAGCGACCAGATGTGCTGCTTTAAAACAATATCAGCTGAGAGATTACAAACAGTACAGACCATGTCAATTTAATAAATGTCTGCGTGCCGACACTTAAAACTTCTTAAATTTGCTATCTGAAGATGAATAAAATGACTTAATCTTTCGTTTCTTTTTCCAACATTTTAAAATATTTATTTCCACACTCATGTAAACTAACTCTGGTTTCCACACCAATCCACAGCAGCCTTCACTTCTGCGTGACCTCATATGTGAACATGATCACCTTCAGTTAGTCGCTCCTCATGATCAAGAAATCACTAAACACAGTAAATGTGCCAAACTGGGTGATTCTCCTACATCTCACACATGATGTTAGCAGGACATTAAAATAACAAAAAAACCTTGGAGGAAGCCTGGAAATGTTGGATACGATGGCCTCTGAAGGTGAAAATAAAAGTCTAGTAGAAGTGAATGAATTAATCTGACAGGACTGTGGAGAGAACTGAAAAGTGTTGAATCTTCCAACAGCAAGAAACCCATGACAACCGTCCACTCCTTCATTTCTGTGTTATAAATCCTGAGAGCACTAACCAAAAAGAAACCAAAAAATCAAAGAAAATAGTGAAGAATTACACATTTACAGTAGAAGAAATAGTTTTTCACTTATGATACACTAAATATTTACAGTCACATGCAGAAGACTGTCTGCACGGGAGACCGGAGCCTGCGTCTTTTGCTGTTCCACACGTGTACGTCACGAAAGTGCCCCAAATCCTCAGCGAGTGTCTCTCAATCCTGGCTGGAAATTAAAATAAAGTAAGTAGAACACAAAACAAGTCACCAGCAGCCACGGGCTAATCACTCAAAGACGATGGTGCAACAGAACCAAAAAAACATCACAGAACGTACTAAAGCTACAAATGATTCCTTCACTCCTTGGCACACCTTTAAAAAAAAAAAAAAAAAAAAAAGAAGAGAGGACAAAATAAAATAAAGATGGAAAACGATGCTAGATCACACTGCATTGGAAATGGCTGAGGGTCGGGTCCACTCCACAAAGAGCCAGTCAGGTGCTAGACAGCGTTCGCTCTTCGTCACGTGTCTGTTTTGTTTGTAGGTGGAGGATATGACAACAACCATGTCAGGCTTTTCTTTGGATGGAGTGACGCTTTTGTTTCCCACTGTAGGCACGAGGAGGAGCCAAGGCATTGGGGGGGAGGAGGAAGGGGTGAGGGCAGGGTCTCAGCGTCTCATCTGGCCCATCTGATAGTTCTCTCTGGGCTGACGGTGGTGCCTCTGGGGCTGCGCCTGCCGCTGCGCCGGCTGGCCCCGGGCTTGCCGCTGGCCGGCGTGGCCGCTGTGGGAGTGCGGATGCTGCGACTGGTGCTGCACCTGGGAGCTAGCATGCTGCTGCGCTCGTCGCCTCTTCAAAGTGCCTGCCACAAGAAAAATATTCGGACTAAGACTTTTTACCTCAGTCAATACGTCTCAATCGGCGACAGCTATAATCAACAAACATAACTTTATTGATTTTAAAAAATGATATGCTGAGATAACGAGCAGCTTTTGTTTCCTATTAGTGCGGAAAATCTTAGATTTTCTTCCTTTTGTCTGTGTTTCAAATTACCATATTTTTCGCTGTATAAGTTTCAGTTTTTTGCATAAATTAGCATGCCTGTGACTTATACAGTGAAGCGACTTATTTATGTTTTTTTCCTCATATTTAAAACCCAGTTTTTGGCTGAGATCTGATTTCATTCATTCTGACATGAAAATATTGAACACTACCATTTTCAGTCACTAGAGGGCCCTCGACTAATATGGCAAGCCAAGTGTCTCATTAATAGGTAAAAGTGGCTATTAATGAGACACTTGGCTTGCCGTACAAAGACATCTTCTTCTCCTTCTGGAACTCCTGGAACAAACGTCAAATCAGCTTCGTTTCGCCGCACCGCCCAGGAGAAATGCAGCTGATTTGACCTTTAAAGTGCATTTATTAAAGAAAAGTACAACTGAAATACATCTTTGCTATAAAGTCGAGCAAACAAACAAATGTTTTTAGGTGGTTATCTTATTAAATTCTTGTTAAAGTCCTCATGTGCACGCTCCCGCAGCCGCCATTTGGCAGCCAATCGATTTTTGGCACACCGGCCCACATTTCTGGGTGGTCAGCGGTGACACATAATAGATGTGACTTATACAGCGAAACAATGCATTTATGTTTTTTTCCACTTTATTAGACATATTTGGACTGATGTGACTTATGCAGCTGTGCAACGTTTACAGCGGCAAGTATGATAAATAGATTAATAAAATTAATTAATTCTCATTTACATTCCATTTGGTTCACGTTTGACACAAACTAAAACGCTGCCTTCTTAAAACTAAATGTTAAAGAGCAGCCGCTGACTGTGCAAATGTACTGCTCTCTTAGAAATGATAAGGCAACAGCTGTTGTATGATTTTGACTGTACTTATATGTGAACTGAATTCACATGCGCAGCTTCACACGGCTGCTCAGAACAACTTGTCTGAGACGCTTTTCTTTCCAATAAAAAAAAGTTCTGCCTTAAAAAGTTGCTCTTTGACATAAGCTGCTTTTGTGAGATAAACAAAAGCTGCAGCTCGCTGATTGTTGTTTGCAGACAAAGACAGGAGGGTTGAACAGTGAGTGAGAGGAAATACAAAAACAAACACAAGCACAGGACTAAAGAGGAAATTTATCTAACAACAGAAGAAATGGATGTAGCTGTTTTAGGTGGTGCATTCAAAAACTGAATGTTTGCAGAATAATAATTTTACAAACCTAAACCAGCGAAGTTATAACACAGAGTTTAGTACAGTAGTCCCTCGCTACTTTGCAGTTTAACTGTCACAAACTCGCTCTTTCACGGTTTCTAAGATTGTACACGAGAAACAAAAAAAAAGTACTCGACACACGATTGTCAACTTTAATATTACTCACGTGATTGGGACGGTACGGGATACAATAAAAAGTTAACGAAAAAAATACTTTGGACAGTCGCCACAAATAGTTTTCTCTCATTAAGTGTACACTGTATCACCACTGAAAAAGAATACATTTCCCAGAAGCCAATTGTGCCCCACCCAGAAGCCCCGTTGCTTTCTGCTGAAATGAAGGGAAAGTTCTGATCCGATCCGAAAAGTTTGATCCTTATTCATACAGTGACTTCAGCTCCCAGCGGATGCAGAGAGCTGCACGGAACCAACCGGGAACCGGATCAGAACTGGACCTCCAGACTCATCAGTGAATCTGAGTTCCGCCCACGAGGCCTGCCGAGCGGGGAGGTGCTGCCCGGGGGCCTGGCGTCCCCCCTGGAGCCCACCCCGAGCCAGAGAGCCAACCAGAACCAGCAGGGTAGGTGTGTCAAAACAGAACCGAGTCGGACCGGAACCGAGCTGCTGTTCTGCAGAGCTGGTGAGAAAAATGCTGTAGCTACATATACGCAAGTTCAACTCAGTTCAGTTTATTTATACAGCGCAAAGTCACAACAGAAGTCATCTCAGGGCACTGAACAGAAACTTTCAAATATAAAATAATTTAACACCATTTGTTAAAATGATGTAGGTTCTAGACTTTAGAGCAGGGCTATTCAAGTGGCGGCCCGCGGGCCAAGTCAGGCCCACGGATGAACTCAGTTCGGCCCACCGCTGGCTTCATTTTTAAATTAAACTAGATTTTAAACCATAAAACAAACTTAATGACAATAACTGCTGATGTCCGGCCCCTGAGCTCTTGGCTTTCAGTAACTGAGAAGTTGAGCTGAATGGTTTAGAACATTGAAGGGGTGGGAAGGGTTTCTAAAGCCTTAACGTATATAAATACTAAAATGAATATAACGTCGCTACTTTGTGGATTTTCACTTATTGTAGAGGGGGTCCGGAACATAACCCCCGTGATAAACGAGGGACTACTGTACATAAATAAAAGTGTTTTGGGTTTTTGTGTATTATTGCACTGACCTGGGAGTGGTTTGGGAGGGGGAAGTTTAGGATTACTGCTTGGTGTGTGGACACTGCAGATCTTAATGAAACCAGCCATGAGCATGATGAGGGCGATGCCCATCAACAGCACGGCCCACCAGTGCGCCTAGAAGAGTGAAGCACAGTTTAAACAGGCTCACTTCAAAAACACCTTCTGGTTTAGTTACAATCAAGACATGGACACGTACCACGATCCACTCTGCGATGTTCTCATAAAGCTCGGGGTTAAAAATAGCTTTCTTTAGCCTGGCAAGCGGCCCGTCGGCATCCACCAGTCGGCACTTCATGAACACGTCACAGTAGCCCTTGAAGTCGTTGCACGGAGAGCCAGCTGGTAGCGTGGTGACTTTTTTATTGAAGAAAGGAGCCAGGCGCTCCGAGCCTGTGCTGCTGCACGTGTTGGGGTTCACTGTGGCGACAGAGACAGGTGATCAGCACATTGAAGACAAGCAACGACCCCATCTAGGTGAAATTCCATGAGCCAAGCCAAGAGAAGGCAGATGACTCACTCTTCTCCATGCAGCAAACGTGGCAGAGCTCGGTCTCATCCTTGCCATCTTGGCTGGCACATGTGCACGCTTCAAGCCCGTACTTCTCACAGATGGATCCCGAGCAGCCCTGCGGGGGAGGACAGGCGAGATCAGACATCAGCTGGTATGAAAATAGTGTTGCCATAACAACCGGTTCTCTCAGGTGCGAAGTCTTCAGTCACTCACCCCGTTGAGACAGACTTGAGTTTCTCCGTGGCAGGCGGTGAAGTTGGCCTTGGGCTCAGATGTGGGGCACTGGGCGCTAACGCCGTTGCACATGCCCTGGTGAGCACACTCAGACTCCTCTCTGCACTTCTCGTTACGACCCTTGTAAATGCATTCAGGGGTACAACAAGGACCCTGACTGGGGCTGATGGGAAGAAGACAAGTGCTGAGTCAATTGTCCTGCATGAGCTGGCAGATCTCTCTTATGCAACACCCGAGGACAGAAACTCTACCTGCAGACTTTGTTGGGCTTTAGTTTACACTTCTTGTTGTCCGGCTGGTTGGCGTCATAGCAGCACAGGTCTTTGCACTGATCACTGTAGCCACAGTCGCACTCCTCTCCAGGTTCGACTAAACCGTTACCGCAGATGGGCTGACCGGACTCTGCAGGAAGGAAAAATGAAACTCTGGGTTCACAAAAGTACAGTCTGTAAAAACTAGTTAAAACTAAATTAAACAGCAGCTATTAAAAAGGTTATTACAAGCTAAATCAACGGTCTTGAAGAAAAGTAGCTGCTGCAATAAAACAGTAAAGTATGTTTATTTGTGTGGAAAAAGCCCAAACATTAGATAACAGTTGTAGAGAGCCAGTCTACATGTTTTAAGATCATACAAACCAAATTAGTGAGCACTCGCATCCAAACAGCAGCATGTGCAAAACTGTTTTAGGACTAAATCCTTTTTTTTTTAAATAATCGAGTCACTTTAACCATCTCTGCATAGGTGCGGATTTCAAAGTTATGCCAATTATTACAGTTGCAGCAAAAATAATAAAGATTGCAAGGAACAATTGTGCAATCTCACAAATGCTGTCAGTAAAAAAAGAGGCCAATGTCCAAGTGTTTTAAAGCAAATACAAGACAGCAAGTATTAGTTTACTAATTATTTTATAGCCATTTGCAAGAAAAGCAAAACAAGAATTAAAAGACTAGCAGTCTTTGGATGAATGCATATCACCCGCCGCCTTTCATGTCGGATTTTAAGATGAATCTTGACAATATGTTGAAAAATGAAAAACCTGCAGCCATTTTTAATTAAACCCAGAAAATAATGTGCGATTTCTTGAAATATCATACTCAGACTATGTGTTGTGAATAACTCAAGTTTAGGTCAACATCTGCTAAACTGACCATTTTTGTGTCGACGCCAAACATTAATCAGTTCAAGACGTACTTTTAATATTAATTTCTGCAAGTTTCATAAACATATATCCAGCAGTTTATAAAATAATTTGGTAACACAGAGATTGGCTGCCTACACGTTTCAGCAACAGGCAACAATAATAGGTGGTTTGTATTATCATTCCCTTAAGAGTTCAAAAAGAAAGAGTGGTAAAACTTCACTAAAACAATTATATATAAGAAAATCCTACAAAAACATAAAAAAATTCATCAACAACTCACCGACAAAACAGTTGCCCCTCTTCTTCTCCAGCACCTGGCTGATGTTGCGAATACTACAAACTGAGAACTTGTTGTTGTTGAGTTTGTCTCCTGATGTGGCTCGTGCATACATAATATAATTGCCCTTCTCCTTCTTGTCTTGGCTTTTGGATTCTCCAGGGGTGCACTCCGATCCAGAGTCATGCTTCCCGGGAGGAGGGAGAAATAAAATCCAAACGTTGGAAAAAGAAGAGATAAAAGTCTGGCACTCGTGACTTCTTTGTAACCATCCCCAAACATGCTACGTGTGAGGAACTTACCGGGGAGCCAAAGTTGTGTCCTACTTCATGTGCAAAAGTGATGTGAGAGACTTTTGGAGGCACATGGGAGGCATAATTCTGTACAGTGATTATACCCGTGTTGAGAGACTTCCTTTTTCCATCAGAGTACAGCTTGCTCTTTTCACAGATTCCTCCAGAGCTCCCTGAAAGGAAAACACAAGCAGGAACAAACCTTGGAGCTGAAGCCACGCAAGTTCCAAATACTTTGTCCAGACGGGTTGAATTAATGATTTATCTCATTATTGCCGAGAAGGAATCAGCCTTCCTTCCTTACCTGAGGGAGCTCCCACCCAGGCCAGTCCCAACACCCCATCGTCAAAATCCCTGTCTGTGAAAACATAAGCCAAGCAGTAGTCATCGTGGTTCTGCTCCGAGTTCAGCTCCAGGAACTTCTCCACCCCGATGTTGGCAAAGCGGAACGGGTTGGATCTCTCTCGCTCATCAAGCGTGGTGTTTATCTACACAGGAGGAGGAGGAGGAGTTCAGAAAGACAATGAAAACAGAGCTTAAAACCATCCTGTCAGCAAAATACTCACCCTGATTCTTTTCACCATGAAGCTGATGTTACGAATTCCCATGAAGTCTGTGCCCTGATAGATGGCATCAATAGCCTTGACGTGACTGGAGATCTAAAAGTGCAAGACAAGACAATAAATAAATAAAAATATACAGGTCCTTCTCAAAAAATTAGCATATTGTGATAAAGGTAATTATTTTCCATAATGTAATGATAAAAATGAAACTTTCATATATTTCAGATTCATTGCACACCAACTGAAATATTTCAGGTCTTTAATTGTTTTAATACTCATGATTATGGCATACAGCTCATGAAAACCCAAAATGCCTGTCCCAAAAAATTAGCACATTTCATCCCACCAATGAAAGACAAGTGTTTTTAATACAAAAAACACCAACATTCAAATAATCATGTTCAGTTATTTATTCAATACTTGGTCGGGAATCCTTTTGCATGAATGACTGCTTCAATGCGGCGTGGCATGGAGGCAATCAGCCTGTGGCACTGCTGAGGTGTTATGGAGGCCCAGGATGCTTCGATAGCGGCCTTAAGCTCATCCAGAGTGTTGGGTCTTGCGTCTCTCAACTTTCTCTTCACAATATCCCACAGGTTCTCTATGGGGTTCAGGTCAGGAGAGTTGGCAGGCCAACTGAGCACAGTAATACCATGGTCAGTAAACCATTGACCAGTGGTTTTGGCACTGTGAGCAGGTGCCAGGTCGTGCTGAAAAATGAAATCTTCATCTCCATAAAGCTTTTCAGCAGATGGAAGCATGAAGTGCTCCAAAATCTCCTGATAGCTAGCTGCATTGACCCTGCCCTTGATAAAACACAGTGGACCAACACCAGCAGCTGACATGACACCCCAGACCATCACTGACTGTGGGTGCTTCACACTGGACTTCTGGCATTTTGGCATTTCCTTCCCCCCAGTCTTCCTCCAGACTCTGGCACCTTGATTTCTGAATGACATGCAAAATTTGCTTTCATCCGAAAAAAGTACTTTGGACCACTGAGCAACAGTCCAGTGCTGCTTCTCTGTAGCCCGGGTCAGGCACTTCTGCTGCTGTTTCGGGTTCAAAAGTGGCTTGACCTGGGGAGTGCGGCACCTGTAGCCCATTTCCTGCACACGCCTGTGCACGGTGGCTCTGGATGTTTCTACTCCAGACTCAGTCCACTGCTTCCGCAGGTCCCCCAAGGTCTGGAATCGGCCCTTCTCCACAATCCTCCTCAGGGTCCGGTCACCTCTTCTCGTTGTGCAGCGTTTTCTGCCACACTTTTCCCTTCCCACAGACTTCCCACTGAGGTGCCTTGATACAGCTCTCTGGGAACAGACTATTCGTTCAGCAATTTCTTTCTGCGTCTTACCCTCTTGCTTGAGGGTGTCAATGATGGCCTTCTGGACAGCAGTCAGGTCGGCAGTCTTACCCATGATTGCGGTTTTGAGTAACAAACAAGGCTGGGAGTTTTTAAAAGCCTCAGGAATCTTTTGCAGGTGTTTAGAGTTACGTCGTTAATTCAGATGGTTAGGTTAATAGCTTGTTTAGAGAACCTTTTCATGATATGCTAATTTTTTGGGACAGGCATTTTGGGTTTTCATGAGCTGTATGCCATAATCATCAGTATTAAAACAATTAAAGAAAATATTTCAGTTGGTGTGCAATGAATCTGAAATATATGAAAGTTTCATTTTTATCATTACATTATGGAAAATAATGACCTTTATCACAATATGCTATTTTTTTATAAGGACCTGTACCACTGTTTAGCTTTCAGGGCTTAAACTGTGACACCCTGCTGACAAACTACAAAATACTTGTGTTAAATAGTCATTTAACAGTGCAGTCATATTGCATTAACTGGTAGAAAATAAAAACGACAGAGTTACTATTACAATTTATTATTGTTTACAATTTACAATTATTACAATTATAGTTTTTAGTTCTGCTGTTCACGTCCTTTGAATTGAATGTGGCCCTGGTTATTACTGTAAAGAACAATAAGAGCAAAATACGAGCTCAAGAGGAGACAAGCAGCTGGTTATCTGCAACATCTGTTTACACGGTGGGAGACTGAACTGTGCAAGTCGCTTCACTAAATATTAAAGTCAAGTGTTATAGGCAGTTATGTCATCATTTTACTGAAGACACGAGTGAAAAATGCAACAATGCTTTTGTATCCCTGCTGTACTAAAAGGCTGCTGTTGCAGTTCCCTTGAATTACACAAATAATATGCACTGTAGCTCATAGAAAAGTATAAGAATGAGTTTTATGCATTTACACAAATGCTGCTATTTTGGAGCTGCCATTACAGATAAAATGTTCATTTTTATGCATCAGTGTCACAGCAGGAGTTCCTGGCCTGGTGGTTTTGTGTTTATTTGTGTCCCCTCCCTGTCCTCTCCTGTCCCAGCTGGTCAAGGCAGATGGCCTCCCTTCCTGTGTCTGGCTCTGCTGGAGGCGTCTTCCTAGTGAAAGGAAGTTCTTCCTTCTGTACTGTCTGCTAACACCCGTACACAACGAGGACAGGGACTGAGGTTCAATTACAAGTCGAGGCAATTTGTTGGCTTTCTCGGCTAGACAAATATGTATAAGCACACTTTTGAAATTACTATAAAAAACTGAACAGGACCCTAATAAATAAGATAACTGGAATGAACTGGATTTACTTGGTTGGTCCCCCCCCCCCCCCCTACCACCACCACCACTGAATATTGTTGTGAAATGTTGACATTCATTTTCTGTGTATTTCCAGAATACAAATTTACACTGCAAAGATGTTGAAAGCATCGTCAGTCACCCCATGTGCTGAACAAAAGAGACGCATCATTCCAGGCAACTTGATGTGGTTATACGAACGTAAAATGTTCCCAAGTGTTGGTTCAAATGTCGGCTCACACTAAGTGGTTGTGCCTTACCTGAGCGATGACGGCTTCTCTGGTATTGTAGTATTTGAAGAAAAGGTGGTCTGTCTGAATGAAGAGCTGGCAGGTGTTTTTCTCAGCCTGGGCCATCCTCTTCTTCCTCAGCAGGACGGGGTCACTGGAGTCGGCCTCGGTGTGGAACTCCTGCTGTGAGCAGCACACGTGAGGTGGACGGTTAAAGAAAACAGCATTTTCACACAAACAGCAAGGAAATAATTAATGTGAGGTATTTTTAAGCTGCTGTGTGTTCATGAACTGGATTTCATGGTTTAGGGATGGACTGCATGCATTCATTTTGATTGATTCGTTTTGCTTAATGTACTGCATGCATGCTGGAGTAGTTAATGACAAATATCACAAGTAAAGGTGTAAAATGTTACAAACTTTGCACAAATCTTTTTTTTTTTTTTTTTTTGATATGTTTACGTTCTCAACATTTGGGACCTAAAACCAGCTCAGAGACTGACTTGGTATTGATACGTATCTTTAACCTTAAGATAATATTTTAAATAATCTCAGATCTAATATTGACAAGCCGTTGATCTTTGTTGTGGTCCGCGCTGAAGTCACCTGGGTCGGTTCCTTTACAGCCGAGGCTTGAAACTTGTTCATCCTTTCAAACACGGAGCTATCAGCACAGCCGCCCTCTGGGCCGTACTTGTGTGGATAGTCTGAGTGAAAGAGGCAGACACAAACAGTGTTTGGATTATGGAGACGATGTTAGCTGCTTAACCCTCCGAGTCATTCTATTCTGGGTGCTATTCATGATCAGCTAATTGATGTACTTATACACCACTTGATACGTCTAGCTGTGCTGTGTGAGCTGCTGCTCTTCTGCCACGTTCATTAGTGTTTCCTCTCACAATTCTGTTTAATTTGCCCCTCAGCTGCTCGCTGTGTTCACAGATGACTTCAAATTACGGAGCGCTGGTGTAGTGAAGTGTACTCAGTGCTCACGATTAGAAGCAACACCGTGTCGACTGCTTAAATAAGCCTGCAGCCTGAGAGAAAGGTTGTATTACTCAGCTAATGAGCACCTCGGGAATCTCTGCGCCATGGGGGTGTTGGGGGGCAATCACACCAGTCTGACAACTCAACGGCCCTAACCGTACACTTTTCTTGTCACACATTTACATAGGCATGCAACAAATTACACATACTGGATGATACAAGAAAATACCCAACCAAAGTACTGTGTAGGTGCAGATAGTAGGGACTTACGTATGTCGTCTTCGTGGTATATGACAGAGTGGAAAGGCACGTCTTTGTCTTCCAGGTATCTCTCGGCTGGCTCCACGTAGTAAGTACCATGGTAGCTCTGTATAAAGCCCTCAAACTTACCATCTATAATGGAGCCATGAGTCAGAGTACCTTTCTCACCTGGAAAATCAAAACAGAGCGGTTTATTTTCAGAGGACTAACAACACAGGATAAAGGTACGTGGGTTTCATACCCAACAGCTTACAGAGTCCTGCAGCGAGACATTAAAACAAGTCTTTTTCAATTGCAGTCTTACCGTAGATTTCACCGGTGTAGATGTGAGAGGTATCATAAGGAATTTCGTCTCCTGAAACATCTACCTTCAGATCTGGGGCGAACAACATGGTGTCCCTTTTCATCCTTAAGTTGAAATGCCTGAAATTACATAAAAGTGAAACCATAGCTTTTTAATCAAAAATAATAATAATAATAAAAACAAAATAGTCCATGCTCAATAATCCAGGTATACAATCCAACAATTTTCAGTCAGGTCATCTGGACAGTTTCTAATAAAAGAATTTAGTCCATCATAGCACGAACCAGTAGATTAAAGTCTGGACATAGAGTGTAAGTAAGACCACACTTTTAAAAGTAACAATACTTCTCTCATACGCTCATCTGTGATTTTTGTGCAACTTATAAACTTGGTCATGTGTACCAGTCTCCAAGCATGTGCCTGAAGCGTTTACAGACAGCTGAGTGCAGCCCAGATTTTTGAGCGTGCACGAAAGTTGTACGTCTACAATACATGTGCTACAAAACAACTCTCATTCAAAAGGTGCTGACAAACACACAACAGACCAAGGAAACAAAAAGAAAACAACAACAAGGTTGCTTATTTTAAGGAAATGTTTACAGTTTGTTATAAATGTTTATATTTATGTTTATAAATGTTTACAGTTTATTACTTGGAAATAGGACACAACAAAAGTAGTCCATATGGCACAATATACACCCATCAACAAAATAGTATAGCAATGGCTCAGACAAGTGAAGACCTTGTACAACATTTGACCTTAATTTGTGACCTTGAAGCTGGGGTGATGAAAGCAAGCATGACACTCATCTACTGAGGATGTATATGTGTACAGTAGTCCCTCACTGGGTTACGTTCCAGACACCCTCGTGATAGGTGAAAATCCACAAAGTAGGGACGTTACATTCATTTAAGTATTTTTATATATTTTAAGGCTTTATAAACCCTTCCCACACTCTTGCAATGTTCTTAACAATATTCTAAACTCTCTAAAGGCTCTAAAAGAGCACAGTGAAAGAGAGCAGACAGACTGATGCTACGGTTACTGAGCCAGTCCTGGGGGCGGACTGGCCATTGGGAGCACCGGACATTTCCCGGTGGCCTGACTCGCTCAGTGATCACCGAGGGAGACAAAGGCTCGGTTCAGGTCGCGCTTGATTATTTTAAATAAACAATCCATGCCGCTCACTCTGGTATCTGCCTCACTGAAGCTCCCACAGCAGTGATAAGGAAAGACAGCCCCCATCCCGCCCCCTCCTTTCTCTTTCTGAGGCTGTCTGTCACAGCAGAGCAGAAACACACAACAGGTTGCACATCCGCCTGTTGTGTGTCTCTGCTCTGCTGTGACAGACAGCCTCAGAAAGAGAAAGGAGGGGGCCTCTCGGCAATCACTGAGCGGGCCAGGCCACCGGGAAATGTCTTGGTGCTCCCGATGGTCATTCCGTCCCTCAGCACAATGCTCTGGTTGGTTGCCTTCCATCAATCAGCCAACCGTGTGTCGTGTACAATCTTAAGTTGAAAACCCGCAAAAGAGTGAATCCGCAAAAGTCGAACTGCGAAGTATCGAGGGACTACTGTATCAAGCTTCAATAAATTACCTTGAGCCGATCAGAAGTTATGGGTGGGACAAGAGAAAGTTTATGAACGGAGATTATACCATAATATGTCCACCTTTTGATGGACGTACAAAACTTGCATGAAATGTTATCTTCTTGTTTTCTTTTGAACAGACAGTTGACAATTCTGTACATGACCACCAGTCATTAGGCTGAAGTGTAAACTGGACCCCAGAAACAAACACCGCGATGCAGCTGACATGAACACGAGTCCGTGTGCATTTGCAAAACCTCGATAACATGCACAAGGAAACATCTAAAAAAGCATGTTGAGATTTTTGTTCAAAGGAAAAAGAAAACAAGACAGGGATGGAGGATCATGGAGGAAACATTTGCATGTTGTTCTGTTACAGAAGGGGAATCTGCTGCCTTCATTTTGCTAAATAAATAAATAAATAATAATAATAATTAGGACATCCTGACAACGTTATGTTGTACTTCTTTCACAATCAAATATCTGGCAAGCAAACAATATATTATTGTAAATTTTGGTTCAAGGCAGCACCTACACAGAGCTGTTAGTCACAATAAAAACATGTACATTATATTCAAATTGTAAGAGTAAGTTCATACAAGACCAAGAAGATGAAAAATTCCAGGCAAAAAAATAATAATTTCTGTCTTCTGGAAAAAAATAATCTTGTGGCTTGGGAGGCATTTTGTTGTCATGTCTGAGCAGTTTCTATCCTGGGGAAAGTGAGATCTTCTTGGCTGATGGTACCCCACCCCCCACGCACAAGGCTCTAATGCATATGTGTCAAACTCAAGGCCCGGGGGCCAAATGTGGCCCTCGTTGACATCTTATCTGGCCCCCCAAGATGATGTGTGACACGTAAAATACTTCTAACTCTTGAATTTTTTCAGTAATCTTTGATTATGATGTCACAACAGAGAACATTAAATGAGACCAATCAAACTATTGTTGAGGAACATGTGACCAAGAAAAAATGTTGGAGTCTGACTTGAGTTAACGTAGATTCTGAAACTGGCCCTTAGTTTGAAAAATGTTTTAATTTTGGCCCCTTTTGTGAGTTTGACACCCCTGCACTAGATGGATTTTGTATGTCTCAAAATTATATACTGTTTAATATATTGTATTATTTTACATTATTAGTGTTTAGCATATACCCTAGATCTTTTAGCGTATCGTTTAACGTTTGTTTAGCGTATATATTAGATCCTTGTATACCGTTTATTTTTATACTTGTGTTTTTGGATGTAACTGGGACCTTGAGGACACAATTTTGTTTCACCTCATGTACCACATGTGGTGCAAATGACAAAGAAACTTGAACTATATTACAAAATGAAAATGTCTTCTTTGCTAGATCTCAGCAGAACTGAACTCGTACAAAAGTTGACTTTGATGTTTTCTTAAGTTCTTGACAATGTTGAAAACATTTTGTTCTGGACTGAGTGCCTCGGATGAGAAGCAAATAGCATTTAAAACAAAAAGAAAAGCCCATCTGACTTCAGATTAATATGATGGGACTATAAGTCCTGGATGACTGAGGATCCACACTGGCATGTTGATCTGACATTAGACAGGACTCTCCACCACTATCATCAAAACACCAAATGAGAAAATGTGTATTTTGAAAAACACATCATCTATTTCCCAGGAGAATTCAAGAAACTTATAGTATTAGTTACTACTAGATGTGTGATCTTTGCACAATTTCATAACTTATTTAAGACAGTTTAGATCAGGGGTGCCCAATACGTCGATCGCGAAGGCAAATTCAGTAGATCACATGGCGAAATATAGACGTCAGTCTTTTTTTTAAATTTCTTTTAGTATTTTTTAAATATAAATCAGCCGATCAATCCATCTTCACTATGCAAATCGTCACTTGACTGACACACAGGTTAGCCAATCAGAGATTGGATCTTTTCTGACTCATCGGTCACCACGCATGCGTATTCAACTGCGCTAAAAACAAACGAGTTGACTCGTAATAATAGCCTCCAGTTTAGATCTAAACTCAAGAAAGTGTGTAAAATGAGATGGGGAGCTGGACCAAGTAAGAAGCAAAACAACTACCACTTCCATACGGAATGGGGGTAGGACTTTTTTTTTTCCACAATATCATATTCGAAGTGCGTTTCACCTCAGCTGCATTTTCAGATTATATTCATAAAAACCACGGCACTGACTTCCTTCTGAAAAGCGAGCTGAGAAACAAAAGGGTGTACTACTATCCAGTTATCTGGACAGCAGTCATTGTTCTTACAGCTGACCAGCAGCGAAGCATCAATCTGGGTGAGTCACTTTAATAACTGTTAACCACAAGAAGTCTTTTCAAGATGGAGAGATGGTGAAAGAGGAATTTGTTGAAGCAGCTGACTCGTTGTTCAGAAACTTTAAAAACAAACCAGAAATATTATCTTCCATCAAAGCAGCTGCTGTCAGGGCTGAAGTTTCACTTTTGTTCTCAAGTTCTCAGGTTATTTTTCAAACATGAAGTTATTCTTGTCGTTTTCAGTTCCTTTGTGTCAAGAACAGAAGTTATTGCTGGATTTTATTATTTTGTACGTAGACAGTAAAAATAAATTGTCACTTTTTTTTTTTTTAAAGAAACTTTTGTGTTTTGTCATTTATGTTGCGTCCACAGCGAGCTGGGACTTATTCATTCATTCAACCTTTATTAATCCAAGTTAGTCCCGCTGAGTCAAGAGGACTTGTTTACAAGAGAGACCTGTTTTAGACGACAACATAAAAAGTACAAACAACAATAAACTACAGTAAAATGCACTTAAAATAAAAGTAGCGTTACAAAACAATAAATCAAGGTGCCATTTAAAATATGGTAAAATACTAAAAACAAAAACATAAAACAAGAATGTAAAGCATAAAAAGCATACTTAAGTTAATAAATAAGTATATGTTTTGTATTTTTATAGTAGGTAGATCACTTGGACTTGGTCATTTTAAAAGTAGCTCGCATGCTGAAAAAGTGCGAGCACCCCTGGTTTAGATGTTTTCCCTACAGTTACTGCTTCACTTTTCACAAACCTGTTACCTTGCATTTCAATTACCGTACTCAATAGAGCAGCTGATGAGTAAAACAGACTACTTCCTCAGGTGGCTGAGGTGAGATGGACTGGGAAGCTCAGTCCTCACCTCCTTCTACAGGTGTGCAGTGGAGAGCATCCTGTGCTCCAGCATCAACGTGTGGCATTGGAGGCTGCACAGCTGCAGAAAGAAAAGCTTTGCAGAGAGTGGTGAAGGCTGCACAGAAGATGTTGGAATCAGTCTCCCCACCATCACAGACATCTACACCTCTAGCTGCAAGAAGAGAGCCACCTGCATCATGAAGGACCCCACTCACCCAGCACACACAGCTCCCCTCAGGAAGGAGGTTGTACAGCATTAAGTGCAGAACCACTACCCTGAAGCTGTTAAGACTCATAAATCCCAAATCAGGATTATCACTGTGAAAGAAAAAAAAACAAAAAAATCACTGTAACGCCACTTTGATTGGCGATATGTGCTGCTGATTATCCATGTTGCTGATCTCATGCTGCTGATTATTTCATACTGCTGTATTCATTCATACTCATCTACTCACACAGACTCATTTTCGTGCTGCTGTTGTTCGGCGTATTGTTTTGCACTATTTGTGTTTTGCGTATTTCTTAGCTTATATCTTAAATCCTTATTTTTACACCTCCACATGCAGGAAAAGAACCACCTGCATCATGAAGGACCCCACTCACCCAGCATGCACTTTTTGCCCCGCTCCCTTCAGGAAGGAGGTTGAGGAGCATTAAGTGTAGAACCACTAGACTGAGGAACAGCTTCTACCCTGAGGCTGTTAGACTCATGAATCTTTAATCAGAATAATCACTGTGAAAAACCACATCAAGTTGCTGCTGATCTGTTTCATGTTGCTGCTGATCCGTTTCATGTTGCTGCTGATCCGTTTCATGTTGCTGCTGATTCGTTTCATGTTGCTGCTGATTCGTTTCATGTTGCTGCTGATCCGTTTCATGTTGCTGCTGATCCGTTTCATGTTGCTGTGTTCATGTTTGCTCATCTGCTCACACAGACTCATGTTCGTGCTGCTGTTCGACGTGTTTGTGTGCTTAGTGTACATTTATTTGATGTTTTTCTTAGTTCATATCTTAGATCTTATTACTGTTTTTCTTTTACATTTTATTGTTGGATGTAACTGGAACCCTGTCTCAATTTTGTTCCACCACATGTACCACATGTGGTGCGAATGACAAAGAACCTTGAAACCTTATTTACCGTTTCTTTATACAATTTACATTTTTGCTTTTGTTGGATGTAACTGGGACCCCGTGTACACAATTTTGTTCCACCTCGTGTACCACATGTGGTGCAAATGATAATAAAACCTACTTGAACTTGAATAAACAAAGTAGTTTTAACAGGAAAAAGCCAGCTAGGTTTGATAGGCCTGAAGCAAAATCCTTGGCATGCGTTGGGGGAAAAAACCCAACTGCAGTTACAATAACGTGCGTTTTTGCATCAACTCCTCTGGTCTATGTAACATAACATAAAAAAAGGCTTCTTGCATGTTTTTCTTTGCATTGCTTTATCTTTTATTCAACCTCTCTCTTTCTTAATAAACAAAATCAGCGTAGGAACTGCAGGTCCAGCAACAGGCAGGATGACACGCAGCCTTTGCCAAACTTCAAGCCAGATGGTCGTGACTTTGTCAGTGTTTAGACATTTTCTAACAAACGTAGCCGCTTCAGAATAAAAAGACATGCTGAAGTTATCTTTCTAAACAAATAAAACCCAGTGTTTCCCCTAACATTATACAAGCAGGGCGTCCCACCCTGTCAAGAGAACCGAACCCCCTGACAATTGCCGGCACTGACATAGCGCTAAGCTAGCGGCGTGCTAGCTAAAAAGCTATATCTATGGAGGTGGTGCTCCGTTTCCCTCACACTGAGCCGTCCTCCCTCGAAAAGTGTCGGTACAAATAGCGTGCAACAACACAGACGTGTCTCTGTCTCCAATTCCACGAAGGGGAAACACCGAATACCCATTTTAATGATTAATTTATCTGCTTCTGTTGTTCATAAAATCTCAGATACAGTGGTGAAAAAGCTATTTTTCTCCCACTAATAATCTGAAGCTTCAAGATTATTAACATATAATCGCATCAAAATATAATCTGCACAACCTGAAAGATAAAGCTTTTACATTTTGTGGAGTTTAACCAAACAATTAATCATCTAGCTTCCATGAAGCTCCACAAAACAAACAACAAATCTAGTCACATTAATTATATCCAGATATACTGCAAATGATGTCGCGAACACTTTAATGGTTCCAGTGAACGGTAACGAATGCAAACGAGGTTTAGTAATACAGCGGATTGTTTCGACAGAACTTTTACAAACAATCCAGGGAAATGGGATTAGTTTGCAAGAGGGTGCAGAAAAATCTGAGCAGCTTATTGTTGGGTCAAAAAGCTTTGGGGAGAAAACGTGAACAAACCTTCCATGGGCATGAAAGTCGAAGTGGAGGAACTTGTCTTCGTGAGAGAGCGCCCTCTTTGCCCTCTGATGTTTGGTGTGAACGAGTTCTGTGTCGTACGACAGGCCTTCATAGTGCCGGATATACTTGTTCAGAGGGTTCCTGTAGTGTCCTGCGAGAAAAGATTAGAGGAAAGCCAGTTAAGAAGATAAAACAGTCACGTTAGCTGCAGGCATGGAAGTTTTTTCATAGTTGTTTTTGTGGGAGTAACTGTTGAACAATCCTACAGTATATCTTCTCCATCTCTGCTCACCAGTAGAAACCAACAGCTTTCTTTTCCATCTTTGGCTCGGTCTTTACAAGTACTGTAGTGTTTATACTTAAATCTTAGCAGTGGATAATGACACAGTCACCTTATAATAATCTACCTCCCTTTCTTTGTGGAACTTGTGAGACTTTTTCCAACATTGTAACTCCAGGCAAGAAGAAAAAAAAATTATCGTGGAACAAAATTAAAGCCTGTGATCAAATCAAGAAACTCAGATTACACAGATGCAAATGAAGGTACTAAATAAAAATATGTTTTTTACTGATCACTAAATACTCTTTAAAAAAAGTTATTGGGCAGCTTATGTTAGTTATTTTTTACGTTGCATTCCAAGTTGACTGTAGCCTCATAGAAGTCTTTGTTCTGTCAACACCAGCCTAAGGTGGTGTCTCACTGGGCTGCACCTGTTGGAAGGTATTTGGTGACTTAAAAGTGCAAGAAAATTGTGAGAAAGTAGTCAAGTTTTCAGCTGCAGTCAAAGAATTATGAGCGTTTGCTACCAACTGAACAGCAGCTATGCTTAGGGCAGCCAATTTATGAAAATTACGCTCCATTTTGTTCCAAAACAGCATTCTGGATCGTTGATTGATCAAATTATTTTGTTACCCACCTCCACCTACATTTTGTACTCACTGTACCGACCCATCCCAAGATTATGAATTAATCGACCACAGCGCACATCAGAAATTAAATATACAGATCTGGACCAGTTTTTAAATACTTAATATATCACTGGTGTGGATTTGAGACCTGGAGGCCTTGCATGTTTTCATCATAAAAAGATACTGTACAGGCATCAAAATACAGCTATAGGGATCTACAATTTACAAAAAAATAAACCGAGAAGAGGGTTGAGACACGTGATAACACTTTGAGCATGTCAGAAGCTCAAGCAACAGACTGCTAGCTTCTGTGACTGAAGGTTTGGAGGCAATTTGGAGACTCGCCCACGAACGCTGCTTGCCTCAAACAGCCACAGCCCAGTGAGAGACTACATTAAAAGGGGCTCTGGACTTATTGGAGATAATGCTGGTCATTCTCTGGTTTGAGGCACAAGTTAACATGCTCATCGGGTCAGACAGAAAACAGCATTCTGGTAAAAACAATCATTATCAAAACACATTAATAACAATTGTAAAAGTTTACATTTGAAAACAGAAACATTGTATACTGAATGTTCATCATTCAAAACTCTGGAGCAGTTTGCTTGTTCACTGGTGAAACATGAGTTTAGCTTGACAAGTCAGGGTTTGTACAAGTGTTGTACACCCGTCAGTCATAACATTAAATCATTGACACGTAAAATGGTTCATCTTGTCACAAAACAATCATCTACTGGGAAAATCTGACTTCTGTCATTATCGTAGTTTTTAGTGAATTTCCAGGACACTGATGTTCTTAGTCTACACCCTGACTGATCAAAGTGTTGTTCATAAACAAGGAGCACATTTAATAGTCCTAATGTTGTGGCTGATTAGTGTTTAACACTGCAGTCCATTATAATGAACAGGTCACTGAATATGCACCTGGATGGACAAGAAACTTGAAATGCAGGATTACGATGAAAACAAATGTGCACGTTCTGCATTTAAAGGCCGAGCCAAACGTTAAAACTCACACGAAGCTCAACGACGAAAGCGGCATCACAACAAAATCATGTCGCCACCCGAGGAGGAGTAGGAGGTGAAAATGATCGAAACAACCCACTGCTGCTTCTTCAAATGTGCTCTGGAATAATCCGATAAGCTAGTGGCTTCTTTTGCTCAGGGAAAGTAATACTTCTGTTGGAATGTGAACAGTACGAGCAGTATTTTCTGAAAGATTATGGATCAGTAACATTTACACCTCTAACTGCAGTGTTTTTGTTAAAAAGTACATGTCTGGGCAGACATTATTTACTGAATGAGCTACAGAAATGCAACAAAGATGGACCAGATTTCAACTACTTCCCTGCTCAGAAGCAGAATGAATTAAACATTCAGGGGGCAACATTTAATTTTTCATTGAGAGGACTACAAGAAGTGAAGAAACTCAAGAAATTACTTCATGCGTCAGGCTTTGGAGAAAGATGAAGGTCTGGTGATTTCAAACAAACACAAAGGGAAATGAGCTTTTGGCTCTTTTTGACGACCTGACAATAAATAATAAATGGCTGAGACATTTAGAAATAGAGGTGCCATCTCATGTACGACTTGGGCGCACAAATATCTGCTTTAAATATTAAAAGGAAGCGAGTTTGTTGCCAACCTCTCGTAAAAATGTAGCAATTATCCCTTGATCAATTCAATCAATTGTCAAAGAACAAGCACGAGATAACACTAACCGGAGAAAACGGGAGTTTATATTGGTAATTAAATGTCTGCCTTGTGGGGTTGAATGGGCCCAGGTAAATGTCAGCGTTTTATTTAGACTCCTGGTGAGTTTCTGGGAGCTAGCCCCGAGCTAACGGTCCGCTGCTCCATCTTCTCACAACAATGGCTGTCGGCGCTGCTCGCACAGCAGCACCGGCCCGAAGCTGACCGTAAAACACGGTGACAACACGCGAAAACACGTCCTCACGGCCGGTTCGTAATAATTAACTGCGTGAATCCTCGTTAGCGTTTACGCTGCGTGTGTTTTGTTGGCTTGGAGTAAGACGGTAAAAAGGGTGCAGTCCTCCATAACAAGCAGGCCCTGCTGCTGCTGCTGCTGCCCGTTAGCTGTCGGGCCATCAGGACCTCTCCGCTCCTTCAGCCGCTGGTTCGCGATTTGTAACACAACCCGCGAGGTTTCCTCCCAAAATGCCTCACTCACCTTGGGTGCAGCTTAAATACACGAGGAGGAGAACTTTAAGGGGTAGCATATATGACAAATCCATTGTTAGAGCATTGATCCCGATTTCACTTTATTGTCCTATTTAGGTAAGCGCAGACGCCCTGTGTGTTTGTTGCAGCTTCCTCTCATCGCCTCCTCTGGCTCCTGCGTCGTGACGTCAGACGCAGGAAAGCAGGGATCCCTTCCCCCTCCCCCACTGCATCCATGATTCGAGCGTGCGTACGTAACACGGTATGGCAAGTCGTTGTAACACGTAATATTAAAACAAATAAAAATGAAACGCTTCCAATTTCTAAACACGTCAATGCTAAATCTGCATTCATACAATTTATTGAAGCAAAAACATTTATCTCATTCAAGAGGTGTCTGCTATAAGTTTTAGTATTTGTAAATTTGTACTTTTCTAAATATTTAACTTAAATGATCTAAAAAAAAAAGTTAAATCTGGTCCTCTGGACATAAAAATAACCCCCAAAATAAATAAATAAAAATTGAATGTCCAGAGGACCAGATTTAACTTTTTTAGATTTTTCTACCTGGATTATTGAGCATGCATCAGAATATTAACTTAAATGACTTTTGTCTGCCTGAGAAATACAATATTTCTTCAGCTGTAACAAAAACAATGTAGAAATCTGCTTTAGTATACTTGGTCAGTTTGTGTCTTCTTTTGAAGCTTTTAGATACCATTCTATAATCTTAGCTAACTTTGATACTTTTAGCTAGTATTTACTACTTAGCTTCTAGCTGGAATATTGCTTGTGTCTTTTAGCTTCTGTTTTGCAACAGACTACTACATTCAAGTTTTTCCAGCCTTTTTCTTAATTCTAGAATCTAGCATTTTACTTTAACTTTTATCTAGCAATCTGCTTCTTTAGGGTTCTGCTTTTTTTAGCTTTAATTCAGCTTCTTATTTCAGCAAGCAAATCAGCATTCGCACATTTTTATTAATTATGTTTTAGTTTTGTTGTTCAAAGTTGCATCATGGAGATTTTCCTTTATGAAATCTAGAATTACAATAGTGACTTATAACAACTATTAATTTATATGAAAACTGAGTTTCTTATAGTCGAACATTTAAAATATTCACTGTGATCATTTTAGATATGAATAATGTACATGTGAATAAAGATAAAATCCCAAATGGTTTACATTAAATGAAAAATGGAGTTTTGAAAATAAAAGATCTCATTTGTGATATGACATTTACTGTAGATAATGATATTCTGGATGATTGAAATGTTTTAGATTAAGAAGAATCAGATTATGGATATCTGGTATAAACAGCATATTTACTATTTCATGATAACGGGCCCAAGCATAACACTGCCTTTGCCTGGGATTTAAACAATTTTTATAGGCACAGAATTCATCTTAGAAACATAAAGCCAAAGAATAAGATGCACCATAAATCACATTTTTAATATTTCACATTCAAGTCAGTTCAGCTTTCATTTAGTCTAAACAGTGTCTAGTAATAAACATTTTATTGAAATGAACTTTGCAATCCACTTAAAAAACTCAAGTGTAAAAAAATTCAGTTCCAGCTTCTTAAAAAAGTGATAATTTGCTGCTTGTCTTTGTATTCTATGCATGTAAAATACTTCGTTAAACTCCTTCTGGGCTCTGCTCCTCCCCAGCACGTATATTAGAATGAGCACATGAGGGGATGGTACAGAGGCAACATTTCCTCAACTTACTCATTTCTCAGAAAATAATAAAAATCTATTACAGGTTGATTGATAATGAAATGAAAGAACTAGCATTTCTTGAAGGGATGGATATTACCTGCCGTCTTTCATGCCAGTTTTAAGTTACCATCATCTTGTGTCAAGAAAGGACCGAGTCGTAGCCATTTTGGTCCAATCTAGAAATTATGTGCAAACTTATTGTGAGATGTCACGCTCAGAATGTGTTGGGGATGACTCTCAGCTACTACCACACCAGGTTTTAGTCTAACAACTATTTATTTGACTGAGTTATAGCCCTTTGTGTGTTAGCTGTGGGGATTTTTAATTTATCTAGTGGCTAATGAGATGTTTTACTAACAGACACGGATGAGGGAGAAAAACATAACAGTTTCTCTTCACCTTTTAACAACGAGCAACAAATATTTCAGCCTCTTCATTTATTTCTTTGTGCCAGATGTTTGACAGGTGTGAGGCGTAAACATAATTAATTAGCTGAATAAAACACCTCACAGAGCGGATGCTGTTTTTAGGCTTCCAAATAAATGACAGAGCCGGATGATATCGAGTTTCAAAACGGATTGTGTGGTAGTTGGATCCATTTATCCATCCTTGGATTATCTGTAAGCTACGCCTTTTGTTAGATAAGAAGCTTCTTTGGCTGTGATGTGTATCAAAGTCTCTGATCTGGATTATTAATTATAAACACACACGTTTTCTTAAAGCACAGGAGTCTATTCCCTGACGGTTAGCACCAAATCCATTTCATCAGACCCTCGTTTTACTCCAAACGATCCCCTCTGGCGCCGGTAGCCGCCACGTGGCACACCTCCACATCAGCCCCCAGCTTCTGCAGCTCGTCCAGCCAGATCTGCTGCTTGTGGGACAACCGATCATTGGGCCCCTTCACCTCCACCAGCTGCAACGACATGACATTCACAGTTATTAAGATCACGAAGAGCTTTGAACTTACACACAAAAAAAGAAAATATCTTGTTTAAAGCAGCCAGTTCACGTGACCTCACCTTGAAGCTGCTGTTTGAGGAGTTCCACACCACAAGATCAGGCAGTCCTGCACGGCAGTGTCTGAAGTCTTTCGCCATTCGGTCTACTATTCCACCTAGGAAGGCTCCTCCAAGGCATGCAACAAGAGACTGCAGAGTATAAATGGTGTTAGAGCCACACTGGTGCCTGCAGTAACACAAATACATTTATTGGGACGAATGTGACATCCTCTTTCCTTATAGCTGCTAACAGTGAAGAGTACCTGCGCCTGTTGGAGGGACGAGAAGCGCTCCCAGCTGACCAGTGAGCACACTTTGCCCTCCTGGGAGCTCCAGACGTCTTCCAACATGCTGCACAGCGTCTCCACAGAGGCTTCACAAAGTAACTGGACACGAGATGCAAGCGTGTCCTTCCTGTTCTCATAGAAACAGTCGGTGTAAAGATCCAGAGGGCAGCTCTGTAAAGAAACAACCAGACTTCAGCTTTTATAGGTCTGTGAATACTGAACAGAACTGATTACAGCTAGGCCTGTGTCACGATAACTAATTCTGCAAGGCGATGAATTGTTTCAGAAATTATTGCGATTAACGATAATATTGTTTGAAATTTTGTTTTGTGTGTAGTACCTTTTTTTGACCACTGGATGGCAGTATAAGACTGTTTGAGCTGAAGGATGGCCAGTGAGGGAGCGAGCAGCGTGTCGCTTTAAGAAAAATGGGAGGGAGGCCCTTTGACGTGACATGGGCTCTCTACTTCCTGTTTTTCGGACCTCAAAATGGCGGACACCCGATGTGGTTTGAGCTCTAGCATAGCATTTGTCACACAAAGCTTTCAATAAAAAAAATCAGTAAACAAGTTCTCAGCTTATCCTGATGCATGCTCAATAATCCAGGTAGAAAAATCTAAAAAAGTTAAATCTGGTCCTCCGGACATTCAAAAAAAAAAAACAAAGCAAAACAACAACAAAAAAGAAAAAAAAAGTAGAAACGTTTCGTCTCTCATCCGAGAGACTTCCTCAGTCTGAGGTGCTGTTTTCAGCTCAGTCTCTTAAACAGCACCTTCTCAGAGTGGATCAACCAGTTTGCTGCTGACAACCAAAACCAACTGATCACATGCTCAAGAAGGACCATCAGCCTAACAATGGATCATTAGCACACTGATGGCTGTTTACTACTCACAGAGGGCTGAGTGATACTAGCAATCACAGCATTGTAAGAGGGGGACAGGTGAACCCGGAGGCCTCCACCCGTTTAATGATGGACGATTTCTTTTCACAAAGATGGCCTCCTTTACTCCTCTCTCAAACCATCGTTCCTCCTTTTCACCTGTTGGCTGACTGGAGTCCTGTTTGGGTTTCTTCTCTGCTTTCAGGAAGGCCCAGTTAGGATATCCACATTGCTCTAGAGCCTGTCTTGTGTGGGATTTCTCCTTCTGCCTGGCTCCTGAGTTAGTGGGGACGCTGTCTGCTCTGTGATACAGAGTCCTGATGTCTCCTAACTTATGCTCCAAAGGGTGATGGGAGTCAAACTGCAAATACTGGTCTGTGTGGGTGGGTTTGCGGTACACCTCAGTTTGCAAATGTCCTCTATCAGAGACTGAGACCTCACAGTCCAAGAAAGCCAACCTGTGCCGTTTTGCCGTGTGAACTTGATGTATTTATCCACAGAGTTGATGTTCTCAGCTTCTCTTTGAAGAGAAAAACAACTTAGATGAAGGTACAGGTTTCAGCTGTGAATTTTGGAGCTTCGACAAGACAGAGGTTTGTTCCCAAGGTCGGCCTGTTAGCTTAGATCGTAGCTTAGCTTCTCAGCTTAGCTGCTTGTAACGATCCAAAAACGTGATTTCTGATCATTAAAACGAATTTTAAAGAGAAAAGAGAAAGGGAGGGGTCAGTGAAGAGCACCGGAGTTGAGCTTTTAGTCATCCAGTGTCTTCAGTAGAAAGAGAGACACGAAGAAACAATAAAGCCGATAAATGAAAATGAGGTTGATAATTTTCATTTATCATGCCATTAATTGATTTATTATCGCGACAGTTCTAATCACAGCCCACTTCACCTGGTATGGATTTCGGAAGACATCTGGAATACCGTCCATAAAAATGATGTCCCACATCAGGAGAGCAAACAGGGTTGAAAACGTCGATCCCTCTCCGTGGATCCCTGCCCAACACATGTTGCTTTAATGGTACGTTGGTCTCCACAGGCTGCACGAGGAGAACAAACGCTGCTTACCTTGGTCAAACCCTTGTTTTCTGTAATGTGCCAAGCAAAGCTCTTCCACAGAGCAGATTACAGTAGCAGGACCCTCGCCTCCCTCCTCCCTTGACGGTAGCAGGAATATAGATTTTCCCATGCCGCCCTCGTGAGGAAACAGCTGGCCTCGAATGGTCACCTGCGAGCACAAATACAAAGAAAAATGATTCAATCTTAAAAGATCACACACATTTCCCTTCAGGTTATTGTGAGAAACTGACGTGTTTGACATCTTGGACTTGTAGAGTGGGCAGATCTCTGAGGTGGAGGTGGTACTTCTTGCAGCTGGCAGCATCTTTCATCCTCAGAGCTCTCTGATGGAGGGACAGCTTATGTCCCGTGCGCACCAGGGGGTCCGACAACCCGTCTCTGATAGCACAGATAGCCTAAGAGTATGATACATGGTCCAATAAAATAATAAAGAAGGGAGAAAGTAGTGAGAAAAATGCTGTGGAAATAATAAAATTATCTTAAAAACTGGTGGATGGAAAGTACCAGTACACTTTAACCAGTGTAGGTTGTTCAATCAGCGCCAGAATGGTTTTGTTTTTGTTGTTTTTGTTGCAGTGAAAATATAAACCTTGAAGTTAGGGATGCACAGTATTGGATTTCTGGCCAATATCCGATATGCCAATATGTTAAAACATATTTGGCCGATACCAATACCAATATTTTTTTCCCTGGACCTACTTACAGAGACTACATAACTTTCTCTGCTGTGGAGTTAAAATACTACATTATTCTGCATGATCTTTGTCAGCTTGGCCTGCTACCAAATGCAGATGCCAAAAAGGAGCTGAAAATGATGCAACACTTCAACTTGGATTATGTTTAATGTGAAATGTATTTATGACATTTACTCTCTCTGACACAATGACAACACTCTGTGCAAATTTGTAAATTTTCACAATTCTAAACTCAACCTGTTCACAAGCGACAAGTGAAATGCACATAAGTAGTAGTGGATTAATAGATATACTTGACAAGTTTCTTAAATTAAAAATTAACATAAAACAGAAGCCTTTTATGTCGGTGAGTTATTTTGACTTTATCGCTAATATCGGCCGATACCATGATGATAATATTGTGCGTCCCTACTTGAATATAAATAAAAGAAAACCTTTTTGAATGTCTTACATTTCTTCATAAGTTGATGAAGAATGCAGAATAACTGCTCCATGCGAATCCAAAGTAACGAGGAAACCAAGAGTGCTGCAGTGTTCATTGCAAACAGTAACATCTGCTGCCTTCCCTTTAAAAACAGCTTTGCTCGTGAACTGGAGGTGCTCTCCTCTGCAGAAATGCTGAACTGGACTATCTTTGTCCCAGCAGGAGGCTAGTACTCCTCACATTTAACCAGTGAGGTGGTGCTGCGAAAAGTATCAACTCAAGGCAACAGACCCCAGTTTAAATCATGACTAAAGTTATTAATAAATTTATTGACACATGGGTACTTGTGCTCACTTCCTGTGGTTTCTTGAGGTGCTGGTGAAGATTCAGTGCCAGCCTGTCCCACCATCGCCCTCGACTATCGGGACAGTAGACGCACTGCTTCAGTAAGGACTGCAGCTCTTCTACTGCTTCCTGTGATGAAACATTAAAAACACCTTATTATTCCTAAAATGTTTTAGTTTTATAAACACTGAAGTATGTGTGGCAGCCTGAGCAGAGTTCAGTGCACCTCGTAGCGGTGTAGCCTCTGCAAAATCTCCACTCCTCTGGATAAGATTCGGGTGTAAGCCCACCCTGTGGTGAAGCTGCGGAGGAACACGGGCAGCTCCTCCTGCAGACTGCACAACGACGAGAACATCAGGACTACACAGTCAGCAGGTAGTTGAGAGACGCAGAGACGGGAACACAAAGATCTGTAAGGTCCTGACCTCAGGTCATGATTTGTCCTCATCTCACACCAGA